ACATGCTGAAGGTTAGGGCACCGTTTGGTTGAAGGGAGGAAAACACACTCGTTCCTTTGTAATTATTCTGCAGACTATAAGAGACAGGTTTTAAGAATCTCTTTTACTTTGCATTTCTAGAATAACGTGTTTTCTCTGTGTTGGATAATCACGTGTGAAGACGACGATGTCAGACAAACATTTCCCAAAAAGCACAAAGATTTAGCGCGACTTTAAAAATGATGATTTTTTAAAGGTCCCATGTCACTGCCATTTCTACTGATCATAGTTCCATTGTTGAGGTCTACTAGAATAGAATGACATTGTTCAATGTTCCAAACTCACATTGGTTTCTCATACAGCATCTCTGTATAGTATGTGTATTCACTCTCTGTCCTACACGGCTTGTTGGAGCTCCTGCCTCCCCCTCCCTGTGAGCCCAGTGGCCGTCTGCGAGACAGCGAGACACAGCGAAACCCAGCCCCAAACACACACACACCCGCAGCCTGGCTGGGAGTTTGTGTGTGTGCCCAGGCTGAGTTTGGCGGTGTCTCGCTGTCTCGCCGACCCCACACCAGTGAGCCAGCTCACAGTGTCCCGCTCCTCGCAGCAGTGAGCCTCGCAACAAGCTACATAACACACAAGGGGACGGGTAATAACCAGAAAAGCATGACATGGGACCTTTAAAGGCCCGGACACACCAATCTGACAACAAAGAACTGACACAGACGGACCCCGACTGTTGCGTCGCCTCACGTCTCCTGCGTCTTGGCCATGTGCCGCACTGGAACACACCGCAAAGACTTCAGCCGACGGCCAAGTAGCACGTACGAACTGCGCATGCGTGAGTGGCAATAACTCGCCTAACCAGCAGGCGGCGGTAGTGTGTATTCGTCATTCAAAAGAGGCAACCGGAAGACAGACTGCGTGATAACCGAGAGAAGAAGAACAGACTGCGTGATATAAACAAACAACAAATAGCGTGTGCGTTCCATGTTCACTCTACAGCGAGAAGCTCATGGGGCTTTCCCCAACCTGTGTCGAGAGCTGGAGTTAAATGAAATCTCAGATTTGCCTTCTTAATCGTTTGTTTGGGTCCCTCACTTCCGTTTCGCTTCTCAGGCACTGATTCGCTAGCTGAACAGCCAATCAGAGTGATTTATTTTGCCGACTGCCTTTGGCCGACTACAGTCGGCCGAAAAGGCGTCGGCCCGGCTGAAAAGACCCGACGGTGCGGGACACACCAATCTGAGTAGGGCGTGTCGACGCTCATCGTCGGCCTGACGCCCACCGACGCCGATAATCGGCCTGGTGTCAGAAATAATGCGCTAATCAAAAGTATTTGAACCTTCATAGAAAGTGTATTTCATAAGCCTTACTGTAAATTAAAAATGTATGTTTTAGATATCATAGTAATGGCTCCAATCATGTGCGTTTATCAAACTTTAATAATAATGTTTACATGCAACAGTATTACATTACAAAGTGTATATTGTTTTAATTGTGCTTATCTTTAATACATATAGCTGTGGTGTATCGTACCATTTCCAGCTCCACCAATAACAGGTAAACATCACAACCTCAAAATCACATTATAACTGTAACTCATTAACCTTATGTGCTAGCTATGCTAATGTCGTTAGTGAGGAGATACTGAAGGTTAGGATACCGTTTGGTTTAAGGGAGTAAAACACACTAGTTCAGATACCCTCTGTAATTATACTGAAGACTATAAGGGACAGGTTTTAAGAATGTATTTTACTTTGCATGTCTAGATTCCAGATTCAAGGTGTTTAGCACTGTCATCGTGAAATGAAACTGGCTCTGAGTTTCTGTCCTGATGACAAACAGACTGAACAGTTTAGAGCAGGGGTGTCCAAACTACGGCCCTCAGCTAATTCAAAAAGTCTACTGGAATATGTTCCACAAATGAAACTTGTGCTTGTCTTATATTGTACTTCTTAAATATAAATGTAAGCATATATCACACAGCAGTATTCATGTGTTAATGAGACCACTTTTCAGATACATTCAGTCGGAAACATGTTCTAACAAATCTAAGTTGATAAGAAAAAAGCCCAATGACTTCTTTCCATAACAAGCTTGAAATAAACTCTTCATATGTGTGTGTGTGTGTGTGTGTGTGTGTGTGTGTGTGTGTGTGTGTGTGTGTGTGTGTGTGTGTGTGTGTGTGTGTGTGTGTGTGTGTGTGTGTGTGTGCATCTTGTGGATTCAGCAGAAAGACTTCTTCTCTGCTTTATTTATCGGGTGGCAGCGAGTGGCTGCTGCTTATTTACAGCAGATTGTTTCTCCAGATGTTTTACAGCGAGAGAAATCCCCGAACGCACACACACACACACACACACACACACACACACACACACACACACACACACACACACACACACACACACACACTCCTCTCCTCCAGATGGAAGTCATTCTTTATAAAACTCCATAATCCTTCTCTCGCTGAGGAGGAAACTCAGGGAAGCGTCTCCTCCTCCTCTACTTCTTCCTCCTCTTCCTCTTCCTCCTCTTCCTCCTCATGTCGCTGACGATCTCCAGTGGTGTCGACATGTTTCAGTGAAACTCTGTGGAGCTCAACTGAAGCTTTAAAGCCAGAGAATAGGAGGTGAAACAGATGCACTCCCGTTCCTCTCTGCCTCCATGTCATCATCCCTGACATGTGTTCGAGGCCATTCAACAGCTTCCATGTTATCTTCAGATAGCAGGGGTACATATGGACAGTGGTGTACATTTGAGGTACTTTACCTGAGTATTTTCATTTGATAGTACTTTATTACACATCTGAGTTGAATACTCGATTCTGATTGGTCAATTTGGACATTTCAGAGGTTGCTAATGTGACATTACAATCAGTGAAGACAATATGTTCAAGTCATGTGAAGCATGGAGTCCATCTTCTGTTCCTGATCACATGGCAGTGACGTGTTGGCTTTCACTCACTGTAAACAGTCATTCCACTTTATCACACCTGAACATACGATGCAATCTGATAGGAAGATCTTTTATATATATTTTTTATTTTGTTTGTCATATGAACTCAATCTGAGGCTCAACATCATCACACAAGATACTGACGACAGGGAAAAGAAACACACAGGAATACAACGAGGAAAAATACTCAATTTCAGGAGTGACTGCAGCTCCAAACGTGTGTGTGTGTGTGTGTGTGTGTGTGTGTGTGTGTGTGTGTGTGTGTGTGTGTGTGTGTGTGTGTGTGTGTGTGTGTGTGTGTGTGTGTGTGTGTGTGTGTGTGTGTTCCTGCTCTCTAACAGCCTTCAACGAGAGCGCATTTGTATTTCTGTTTCTGATAGTTTTATAAAACACACACACACACACACACACACACACACACACACACACACACACTCCATGTTCCCGCGGGCCTCTCTTGGCTCCCGTAATTCCTCTTGTCCGCACCACAAAGCGTCAGAAAAACGAGGCGCCGCCATTACGCCCGTCGTGTTCGTCCTCCGGGAACCGCCATCATCTTCATCATCTTCATCTTCATCCTCATCCTCATCGCCTCTGAAGCGACAACACGGCGAGTCGCTCCTCTTCGTCGTGTTGCAGTTGGCAGAAACGCCGCCTGTTAATTATGGTTTCAGTGCCAAGCATACAATCACACGGTAATTGGAGTTGGAGCACAGGATTGTGGGAGTGAAGAGAATGATAATGACTGTGTGGTCATCATCTTCATCATCATCATCATCATCATTATGGGTTTGTATTATCATAGTCTCACTAAGAGCAGGAACACTTTTAAACAACCTGCACATTTATACATATTTATAATATAAAGATACCGAATGCAGAAAAATCTAAAAAAGTTGGAGCAGAGGATTGTGGGAGTGAAGAGAATGATAATGACTGTGTGGTCCTCATCATCATCATCATCATCTTCATCATCGTCATCTTCATCATCATCGGATTATATTATCATAGTCTCACTAAGAGCAGGAACACTTTTAAACAACCTGTTTAAGGAAGGAGATGAAAATTGGACAAAGAGACGAGAAAACACACCTTTATTTTAAACTCGTCTCGTTTGATTGAGACTCTGAAATGTTTTTAAGTCCAAATGCTATTAATGTCTAAAAAAAGATGAAGAAAGATGGACGAAACAACTTCAAACCTTTTTTTGACGCTGCCTTTTATTAAGTAAAACAATTTACATGATATTTTACTCTGCACACAGACATGTATAAATACCACATGTATTAGTCTCCCTTAGGGATAAGGTGAGAGGTTCAGTCATCTGGGAGGGACTCGGAGTTGAACCGCTCCCTAGGGAGGTGTTCCAGGCACGTCCAGCTGGGAGGAGACCGAGGGGTAGACCTAGGACCAGGTGGGGGGATTATATCTCTACCCAGGACCAGGTGGAGGGATTATATCTCTACCCAGGACCAGGTGGAGGGATTATATCTCTACCCAGGACCAGGTGGAGGGATTATATCTCTACCCAGGACCAGGAGGGATTATATCTCTACCCAGGACCAGGTGGAGGGATTATATCTCTACCCAGGACCAGGTGGAGGGATTATATCTCTACCTAGGACCAGGAGGGATTATATCTCTACCTAGGACCAGGTGGAGGGATTATATCTCTACCCAGGACCAGGTGGAGGGATTATATCTCTACCCAGGACCAGGTGGAGGGATTATATCTCTACCTAGGACCAGGTGGAGGGATTATATCTCTACCCAGGACCAGGTGGAGGGATTATATCTCTACCTAGGACCAGATGGAGGGATTATATCTCTACCCAGGACCAGGTGGAGGGATTATATCTCTACCCAGGACCAGGTGGAGGGATTATATCTCTTCTCTGGACTGGGAGCGCCTTGGAATCCCCCAGTCAGAGCTGGTTGATGTGGAAAGGAACCTCCGCGACCCGACCACGGATAAACGGGAGAAGATGGATAGATGGATGGATGGATGGATGGATGGATGGATGGATGAATGGACATGTATTAATATCTGTATCTATCTAAGCAGTTTTTTCCTAATCCTGTTTTTAGTTATATTTATATATTCTGTAACTTCAGTACAATTAGCAAAACATTTACTCTAAAGGTACCGAATGCGGAAAATCACCAAAAAACAACCTCATGTTTTATTAACTCAAAGCACTTTTTAAACAGTTTTAATCATTCAACGGAGGCCCAAAGCAGACATTTATAGATACTACATTTATTAATATCTGTAAATAGTTGTACCTAATCCTACTGTTGTTATATATACTGCAACTTAAGTTCAATTAGCAAAACAGACTAAGCTCAAATCTCACAACCATTTATTGTTTGAAAAAATTGGAAAATAACTTATTTAAATTCCAATTAATTGTCCCAATCTCTAATCATTGGTATTTGACTTTACAACATAACATCAGAAGGAGTCATGTGACCACATTGTTCAAATAAGTTTCCAACAACAATAACTATATGTCTCTGTGTCTCAGAGTAAACTCTTCAGTGGAAGTTAATACAAATGAACTTTGTTTCTCTCCACCACAGCTCACGTGTCCGATTCTCCCCTGTGGGCCCTGAACGCACCGTCAGGTCTAACATCCCATCATCACCTGTCTGCCCCGGTGTGACAACATATGGTTTGCGGCCCCCAAACGGACGCTTGAGGGGCCTCCCTGTGTGGGGTTTCCTGCCCAGAGCAGCAGGGGTGAGATGATGTCCGACAGGTGAGAGAAACTAGAGATGTGAGAAATAAGAAAACAGCAGGAGGTGGAGGGAGGATGGAAAAGAGAGAAGAGAGTTGGACAAAGAGACGAGAGAACACAACTTTCTTTTAAACTCGTCTTGTTTTAGTTGAGCTTTTATAATCTATTCAAATGTAATTTTACAATTATAAAAGTCTGAATGCTATTATTTTCTCATGTAATGCACTTGAGTTGTCTTGTTGTTGAAACATGCTGTATAAGTAGTCTTTGACCGTCTGTTATGAATCTGTTTCTGGTTCTGTTTTCTCGTCTGCTTACAGGATATCAGAAAAACGACTCGCTCTATTTTCATAAAACTTGGTGTCATCATCCGTGTCCTCTGATAGAACATTTAATTGTAAGAGTTAGGTATGTGTTATCTTTCCAGTTCTAACTGATGCTCATTAATGAAGTCATATGTATGTTTTAAATGCAGTTTGAATGGTAGAAATCCATTCAGCCACAGAGGAGATATCACTGTCAAGAAAACTGTCCGTCTGCTGACTAACGTACGTATGGTTTCATTTAGCTTCAATGTTGAGCCAGAGAACGTGCTTTTAACATGTAAACAAAGGTGGGAAATAATGGTGCTTTAACTTATTATAAAATAAAAGCAGCAGGAGGAGAAATTAGGGATTTGAAAATGATTTCAAGTAAAAAAAACGAGTTTTTACCAGATTTTTTATTTCAAATCGAGAAACAAATCAGCTTTTATTGAGCTGATGTTTCTTCACTGAGAGGAAGCATCTTGTTCTTCCTCTTCCTTACATAGTGTTCTCTCCTCTTCCTCACATCTTGTTCCTCTTCTTCCTCACCTTCACGCCGTCGTGTTTTCTGTGTCGGACTCGAGGATTAATTTCTAATCTTCGTCAACAAAGTCGATAATCGGAGCTGAGGTCGTTTGATCCTAAAACAACAATGAGCTGCCGTGAAAAGAGCTCGACTTCATCCTGTCTGCAGCGTGAAGCACCGCGGGACCACACACACACACACACACACACACACACACTCACACACACACACACACTCACACACTCACACACTCACACACACACACACACTCACACACTCACACACTCACACACTCACACACACGCACACACTCACAGGAGGCCTCAGGGAGATGAACAGGAAACTTGTTTATGATTTAAATAAAAAGTGTTTTCAGAGTAAATATCGTAACGACGTCTTCACATGCTCCAGCTTTAATAAATAATAACAATAGTAAACTCTATTTAAATAGCACGGATTGTACAAAGCAAAATGAAAAAGCACAAACTATTTAAGAGAAAAAGGTTATACACCATTTAGAGACATAGAAGAAAAACCACCTTACACACAGAACTGAGGAAATATTAATAATAATACACATTTTTACAATTAAATCTGACATATTGGTTAAGATTATAAGCTAATAATAACAATTTAGGGAACGTTTGGAAAGTTTTTTAAAGGAAAATATTTTTATTTTTAAAAGCATGTTATTATTTTTATTTGATTCTACAGTATATGTTTTCACTTCAGAGAGAAAATTGCTAATTTTGGTCCTTGAACACACCACGCTTACTTTAGTCCTTGAACACACAACGCTAATTTTACCCCTTGTTGGTATTATCACCAACGTCCTATAATACAAAATATTGGATTTTACAGACAAACAAACTCTTCTTCGGTGAAACCAGATTGCAAAGTATGGAGGTAGATTTAACTCAATTGTATTTGTGTACAGAAGAATAATCTGTGTTTAAAAGTGAAATCTGTAAATCAATTACTATATGTGGGGGAAACTTCTGAAGCAATGGAGTCAGGACTCAGAGAGACACAAGGAGAGCTGGAGCTTTGATGGCAAACACTGGCGGTTTATTTGGAGCTTCGGCCGGAGAATTCACAAGACATGTCACGGGCCACGGTCTGACCACACGGTTGAGATGCCACAATCCATTCTGAAGACCCCTCCTGTAGCTCCAGGTTTTAACTAGTTCAGAGTGTAATAATCAATATTCTTCAATTGATAGACTAAACAGCTAAGGACACTGAATCACATTTGTGGTCACTTATGGCTCGAGGTCATCTACACTCAGAGAAGGATGTGTTCCAGGTGTCCCACAACAATAACTATCTCTGACCGACAGTTGCCCGGTCACAAACTGGTAACAACAACAACATGCTAGGGCAGCCCCTCCTTAAGGGAGATAGCGGCTGATCAAGGCTGGTCAGCTGCGTCAGAGGGCGAAAGGTAAACATGCAGGGCAAATTATTCCCTGACACTATATTTAATATAAAACACCATCCATAAATGCAAAACAGATTTGTAAACTCATATCATTTGCAAACATAAAAAGGATCCAAACAAATACAAATAATAATGATTTATTTCTTTATTTTTAGGTCTCAATTTTAAATAAGAAATCCGGTAAATACTAATTTAAAAAATGTGGATTCATTTTCAAATAGTTATTCCTCATTTCTTCCTCTTGCTGCTTTTATTCTCTGTTTGGAACACATTCATTTTAGTCCTTGAACGCACCATTTCAGCTCCTGATAACACCAGGTATTTTAGTGCTTGAACACACCACACTCACTTTGATGTACAAATAATAATGATTTATTTCTTTATTTTTAGGTTTACAAATCTCTTCTTTGTGGAAGGTGTTTCACATTCACACACAGATTATTCTTCTGCCCACACGAATCATATTGAGTTGAATCTTCCTCCATAGAAACCTGCAGAGAGGTTTGCTGAGGATAAACTCTCTTCCATCTTTTAAAACTTTTTCTTTTTTCTTTGTTGAAACTTCCCATAATGTCCCAGAGACAAAGAGAGGAATAAATGAGTGAAAGCGAGGATCCATGTGGCGCCGAGATGTAATATTGATGACTTCCGTTTGGTCGTCTCATGTTTTATCAAATATTCACGAAGCTCTGCGTCCCCTAAGATCCCAGAATGCATCTGTAATGTCCTGTCAGGTGAGGCATGATGGGAGAGGATGGAGGGAGGGTAGGGAGAGGGGGGGGGGGGTAATTCCTGATCACAGCTCTTCGTCTCTTGTTAGAAAACTTGTAGAAGTTTCCGAACCGACAGAGGCCCCGAGGTCGAGCCCTGAGGACCTCTGTGTTTTCGCTGCTTTTATTCCCTTTGTGCAGATTTTTCCAGGTTTTTCTTTGTGAAAATGTTCTTTTAGTTTTAAAGATAAGGCATCTAAGCTTAGAATTAAAGCAGAGTATCTGTCTTTCAAAATCATTCTGAATTTCACCAGTTTCGAGTTCACCTTTCGTGCTATGAAGGAATCAGTTAGCTCTGTTTGTTTGACTTGTAATTACAATAATACTTTTTGAACGTAGGGCACCTTTCAGAGTACTCAAAGATACTTTAGTTGCCACAATTCATAAAAGCAACACACTTAAAATATATAAAACACAAAATAATTGAACTTGTAGTAGTTTCCTGAGTGTTTGGAAACCGACAGAGGCCCCGAGGTCGAGCCCTGAGGAACTCCGTGTTTCTCGCTGCTTTTATTCCCTTTGTGTTGATCTTTCCAGGTTTCCTTTGTGAAAATGTTCTGTTAGTTTTAAAGATAAGGCCTCTAACCTAAGATATAAAGTATAGCACTGTCTTTGTTACAAAATCATTCTTTCTCCAATGATTTTCACCAGTTTCGAGATCTCCTTTCGTGCTGTGAAGGAATCAGTTTGCTCTGTTTTGTTTGACTTTTAATAATTATAATACTTTTTAAACATAGAGCGCCTTTCAGGGTACTTCAAGACACTTTACATGCCAACATTCATAAAAACAACACACTTAAAAAATATAAAACACAAAATAATCAAACGTTTCCAGATCGTTTGGAAACCGACAGAGGCCCAGAGGTCGAGCCCTGAGGAACTCCGTGTTTTCGCTGCTTTTATTCCATTTGTGCTGCTTTTTCCCGCGGTTTCTTGTGGGTAAGTGTTGCTAAATTACTCTTTCTCAACGAGGGTTCAACTGAGTTTCCAGTTCTTCACTTCTTCCTCCGTATTGGTGAGGAATCTATTTGTTTGTTTGTTTGTTTGTTTGACTTCTAATAATAACAATACATGTTATTTATAAAGCGTTTCTCATGAGCAATGATCCGGCAGCAGAGTTCTGTATTAGTAGATATAACATTTAATATGAAAAATATACCTTTAAATTACAATATATCTTTTTTGACAAATATTTAATTATATGTCTTACAGGATTATACCTAGCTAAATCATTATAGAAAACAAACACATTGAAATATATTAAACACAGAGCGACCGTCAGAGTTTCCAGTCTCTCAGTTTCTCAGCAGATTTACGGCCTCCGGAGTTTTATAGTTTGATTTTAGATAAGAAATCCGGTAAATACTCATTTTAAAAATGTGGATTCATTTTCAAATAGTTACCTAATTTCTTCATCTTGCTGCTTTTATTCTCTGTTTGGAATACATTCATTTTAGTCCTTGAACGCACCATTTCAGTTCCTGATAGCACCAGGTTTATTTTAGTGCTGGAACACACCACATTCACTTTGATGTAGTACCTCAAAATAATCACTTTTTATCACAAAATATTGACTAAGTATTTTAATTATTTTGAGAACGTTTGGGGATGTTTGTGTATCATAATATTACTTTTCTTTTGTCGGTTACCGGCAGAAATGGTCTTTCAAAGCTAAACAGAAGAGAGATATCATGAAGATCATCAAAAACAAAACTCTGAAATATAAGGTAAACATGACAGGTGTGGTGAGTTCAGGGACTAAAATGAATGTGGTGAGTTCAGGGACTAAAATGAATGTGGGGAGTTCAGAATACAGAATACCTCCATTCGTCCCACAGAGGGGAAACGTACACTCAGGAACTTTAATGAGTGTGGTGAGTTCAGGATCTAGGATAAACGTGGTGAGTTCAGGAACTAAGATAAACGTGGTGTGTTCAGGAACTAAGATAAACGTGGTGTGTTCAGGAACTAAGATAAACGTGGTGTGTTCAGGAACTAAGATAAACGTGGTGTGTTCAGGAACAAAAATAAACGTGAGCTACCAAGCAGTAAAATAATTCATAAAATATATAAAAAATACTTTAAAATGAGCTCGTATTTAACCAACAGTGAATTTTGCACTTATTTTAAGTCTCTTTGGATAATCAGCTAAATGTAATGTAATCTCAGATCTGTGGTTATTCTCTTCCTCTCGACTGAACGCTCCTCTTCCTCTTCCTCTTCCTCTTCATCGCGACGCCTCGTCTGCAAAGTGTTACATAAATATAAATCACCTCGTCCCATGAATATTTTACAGTCATTTCACTTAGCACACATTTGTCTTTCAGAAAGAGGACATGAAGCCTTTTCCATTTTAATGACAAAACAAACTCAGACAAAACATCTGATTTAAACTTTAATGCTGCAGATGTATATCAGGAAGAGGAAGAGGAGGAAGAGGAGGAAATGAGGCGGAAGAGGAAGAGGAGCTGGGTTGGAAAGACTTAAGTGCTCGGGTGAACACGGTCCCAACAAAACACTCGTTAATAATGCAGAGACTTCCATTTATCCTCCGTGATGTGAGCGTGACGGACAGCCGACACTCTGTGGTATTCAAGAGGTTTTAAAATCACAGGCAGACACAGATTACACGTAGAGATTTAGTTATTAAAGGTATGTATTACATTAAGTACAAAATGGTTAAGAAAATGAACTAAAATATGTTAAAATACACATTTGAAATAGCTAGTTAAAGGAGAAGTGTTCAAAACGTAGCTATAAGTAAAGTGATAAGGATAAACCGTCAAAATAGCTGGCGAGAAGTAATGGATAAATGGTGGAAATAGTTAGTTAAAAGTTATGTTAATGGTTAATCGCTATAGAAATAATTAACTAAAAACAAATGCAAAATGTAAACTTGGATTTTAAATATCTCTCACGACGTTAAATGTTTAAACGATTGAAAAGGTTATCTAAAAGCAATGTGAATAGAAAGTTGATTAGACTAACGTTAATTGATAAATGGTTAAAGAATCAGTGAAAGTGTAAAAGGATAAACAGACTGTGAGCTTATGGTTGTTATTCAAGAGGTTTTAAAATCACAGCAGAAACAGATCACAGCGGGAACTCGCAGGGTATGTATTACACAAAGTACAAAACGGTTAAGAAAATGAACAAAAATACGTTAAAATACACGTTTGAAACAGCGTAAGCCAACACAAATGGATATAAGTGTTACAGCTCAGCTAAAAGTAAAGTGGAAATGTCAACATAGCTAGAAGTAATGGATAAATGTTTTAAATAGTTAGTTCAACGTTACATTAATGGGTAAATGTTTCATAAAGTTAGTTAACAGTTACAGAAATGTATAATCGCTAGAAATAATGGACTAAAAATGAATGGATGAATGGTTAAAAACAATATATTAGCCGCTGAAGGTTTAAACCAGGGGTCCGCAACCTTTTTGATATGAAGTGCCATTTAAAAAAAAAGATCAGATTAGTGTGCCATTGTTCGTGAACTGTCAATGGGAGGGCGGGGGGAGCCTCGCTGCGGGGAAGCTGTGGACCTCTGTCGCCTGTCCACGCAATTTACATGATGCAGTGTAAACACAGTTAAATAAATAAAGGGCGGTGCCGGCCGTCAGCGAACCGAGCCGGTCCTCAACGGCCCGCTGGCGACCGGCTCGGTTCGCTGACGGCCGGACGTTCTGTGATTCTCCAGAACACACAGTTGGCCACTCCGCCCCTGTGTAGCATATTATTTTCGATGACAGATGAGCTGATCGCCACTGGGCTTTCAACTAAAGACACAGCCACGCAAAAACTGCGGCATGTTAAGCTCCTTATGGGTACTGCAATGTGTGAAGTGCGCTACACCCCTGATCGTTTCACCATGAAGGAAAGCAGCAGAAAGTCGACTGGAGTTAAAGAGAGCGGGGCCTAGAAGTTATCCTTCTGCGCTGCGTTGCGTGCATGGCTTCCTTCTGCAGGGGGAGACGAGCTCTGCCGGCGGTCTCGTTCAGGATCCGAAAATACAATTTAAATATTTTGCACACTTATTCCTAGTGTGCCACTGGTTACGGTCCCGCGTGCCAATGGTGGCACCCGTGCCAGGGTTGCCGATCCCTGGTTTAAACGATTGAAGAAGTTATCTAAAAGCAACGTTAATCGACATTTGATTAGACTAACGTTAACTGATAATGGTTAGAAGTGAGTGAAAGTGTAAAAGGATAAACAGACTGGCTCATTGTTTTGCGGGTACTCTGAGAGATTGTAGTTATAAAAGGTCTGTATTTAAATTGAGTCAACTATAACACCAACAAAGTATAAGAAAGCGAGTATGAAAAGCATAAAACAGTTTGAAAGTTAGGTTGCAGAGAGGCAAATAAGTGTGAAAAGGTAACGTTAACCTGTTAAGCCCCAAAGACCCCGCCGGCAGGGCTTTTTTTTTTTTCACGACACTGTGTCTCAGGGCTTCTTAATATTTAAAAAACGATGAATGTGTCATACCCTCCTAACGGGAAGAAACTCAGCTAACTGATGATACGAACCATTTTTACAGAAACAAAACACAAGTCTCACAAGAAGGGTCCAAATGAGCCCTGAGCGAAAACATGCTAACGCACTTAGCACAAAACTCTAGTTATAAATCGATGAATATACTTATTGGATCATAAACAAGCTTAGCTAACAAGCTGAGATTCCACAGATTATAGAAATATAAGGATCATCACTGAGTGATCAGAACTCGCGACAGGGGAAGCAAATACAGACAACACACAACGTAGCTTTAGGTAGCAAAACACAGAGATATGCTCACCTTTAGCTGTAATTCTGATCAAAAGTCGTGTTCAATGGCATTAAAACGAGACAAAACGCGGCTGAAGGTTAATCCATAGGTTAATCCAATGTGTCTGTCACTTTGAAAAAATTATTGATAATCCATAATTCCATTTTTATGTAAAAATCGGAGAATTAATATTAGCTGCTAATGGTAGCCACCAGAGTGTATCGCAGCTTCCGGTTTTAGCTACGCGTCACTCTCACTCCTTATTTGGTAACCTGTGTGTGTATGTGGAACTTCCCCTGGATTCTATTGGCTCTAACGGTTAAAAAGAGATGTCAATCATCAAAATCGAGCGAGGGGGGCCAGAGATAGGTCAAATCCACCCAAATGACCCCAGAAGTGGTTTCTTTTTGCTAAATCTCTCTAAAGAATTTCACTTGTTTTGCATCAATCTTGATACAGGGTACTTATTATATGTTATAGTTTGGATTCCTAAAGCTTTTAGTCTACCATCCCATCATTCAAGGGTGGTTTTCACTATAAGTAATGTGTTTTTTTTGGACGGACACAATAATTTACATTTTTTTACTATGTTCAATCTGAATTTACTTTACAATAAGGGTTAATGGATAAAGTGTTCAAACGTGATGTAAAAGTAGTCGATAGAAACCGTTAGCTTGCAGTAACTTCAATGTTGAAATGGTAGTTGGGTGAAGTAACGTAATGGACTAATGGTTGATAAGTCTAAATCATGTTATTGTATAAACGGTTAAAACCGTTGTTAAAAGTAATGTAAATGGATAAAGAGAGTGTTGAAGAGAGTGGGGGTGATAGCACATCACCCCCACTCTCTTCAACCTCCACTGGCTCCCGGTCAAGTCCCGCATCACCTACAAACTCCTCCTTGTCACCTACAAGTGCCTCCGTGCCCTCTCCCCTCAGTCCCTCACAGATCTCCTCCACCCCCCGTCCCGCACCCTTCGATCCTCAGACTCCGGCCTGCTCTCCATTCCCCATTCACGCCTCCGCACCTTCGGGGGCCGTGCCTTCAGTGTCGCTGCCCCCCCCCCCTCTGGAACTCCCTCCCTGCTGAAATCCGTAACGCCCCTTCTCTGAACATCTTCAAATCAACCCTGAAAACTCATCTGTTCAACAAAGCCTTCCAACATGAACTCCCCCCCCCCTGCAATGTAACACTTCCATTTCTGCCCCCTGTTTTATGTCTTGTTATATGTTTCTTTGTTAAGCGACCTTGGGTTGATGAAAGGCGCTATATCAATTAAAGTTATTATTATTATTAAACTGTTAAAATAGTTAGAAGTCACAGGCAGCACATCTTTTGGTTTGTTGATACGAAGCAAACCATTGTTTGGTGACCGTTTTGCATCGAACACTTTGGGCTCAAATGTATGTAATATGTATTTGGCAGACTTTACATTGCACTCAGTAAGACTGACCCTTCAGACCGACCCCAACTATCCATTCACCATCACCAGGGTCAAGCTAAGCCACTCCCCTTCAGACCAACCCCACCATCCATTCACCACCACCAGGGTCAAGCTAAGCCCCTCCCCTTCAGACCGACCCCAACTATCCATTCACCATCACCAGGGTCAAGCTAAGCCACTCCCCTTCAGACCGAACCCAACTATCCATTAACCACCACCAGGGTCAAGCTAAGCCACTCCCCTTCAGACCGACCCCACCATCCATTCACCACCACCAGGGTCAAGCTAAGCCACTCCCCTTCAGACCGACCCCAACTATCCATTCAACACCACCAGGGTCAAGCTAAGCCCCTCCTCTTCAGACCGACCGCAACTATCCATTAACCACCACCAGGGTCAAGCTAAGCCACTCCCCTTCAGACCGACCCCAACTATCCATTCACCACCACCAGGGTCTAGACCCCGGGGAATTTCATCGGATCGGTTCTCCCCTCCCGAATGATACTCCTGCACAACGGGGCCTAATCACCAAAACTCCATTACATTCATTTGTGTATTCCTGTCAATAAATATGTATTCTTACACCAAAACCCTCTCTCCTGATTGAAATGTAATTCAGCCGTAATAGCGTTGATGCTAGATCACACATTTGGGATATCCAAAATATGAGATTATATAACATTGCATTTCATTTAGCTTTTATCCAAAGCTTTTATGGCGTCATTTCACACGTAAACAGCAGTATCTTTAGTGCAGGCCCCAGCTCAGCTTCAACACTCCCACGGCAATACCGGGATTACTTACAGTAACTAATGTTTATCGGTTAAAGTAGTTCGCTGTTAGTAACGTAAATGGATATAAGTATTCAAATGGATAGCAACAAGTAATGGAGAGATGTTGAAAAAGTTAGCTAAGAGCACTTTAAATGTAAAAACAGTTTAAAAGTTGGTTAAAAGTCTGAGTGTAAATGGAAAACGTGAAATAAAACTTAAAGGTGGACATTAGAAACTGTTAACTAAAAGTAACTTCAATGTTTAAACGGCTGAAATAGTTCGCTGAGAGTAACGTAAATCAATAAACAGTTTGAATAGTTAGCTACAAATAACTTTAACACCTGAGTTGGGTAAAGTAATGTTGATGGAAGAGCAAAAATAACAATAAATACATTGAGAAAATGCACAAAATGCTTTAATTGGTAGCTAAAAATAACATCAGATTCTGAGAGGTTGGTTATAAATCAGTGAATCTCCCTGAACGAGACTCAGGATTAATAAACGCTGTCAGAGTCTTAATTATCCCCGGAGGACGCACGTCTTGGACACCAATCAGCTGATTAGAGACGGAAACAACTTCACTTGATGAACGACTGAGTGAATCCATATCAGTCAGAAACGTCTCCAAGAGTTTCCACTGATCAAAAAGTTATTTAAAACCTGTCTCCTTAAATAAATAAATAAATGAAGCACTAATGTTGGCTTTAACAGAATCAGTATGTAGCAGCGAGCTTTAAAGAGTGATGTTCAGGTGTATATCAGTATGTAGTGTCTCTACTTTAAAGAGTCCTCTCCTGCTGATGTTCAGGTGTATATCAGTATGTAGTGTCTCTACTTTAAAGAGTCCTCTCCTGCTGATGTTCAGGTGTATATCAGTATGTAGTGTCTCTACTTTAAAGAGTCCTCTCCTGCTGATGTGCAGGTGTATATCAGTATGTAGTGTCTCTACTTTAAAGAGTCCTCTCCTGCTGATGTTCAGGTGTATATCAGTATGTAGTGTCTCTACTTTAAAGAGTCCTCTCCTGCTGATGTTCAGGTGTATATCAGTATGTAGTGTCTCTACTTTAAAGAGTCCTCTCCTGCTGATGTTCAGGTGTATATCAGTATGTAGTGTCTCTACTTTAAAGAGTCCTCTCCTGCTGATGTTCAGGTGTATATCAGTATGTAGTGTCTCTACTTTAAAGAGTCCTCTCCTGTAGATAGAAATGTAACACAAGACTTTTGTCAGTTGTTAATTCACTTCATTATTTTCTGTATTTTAATCAGACGCACGTTTGTTAGAAAACAATAAATGTGCGATGGTTTTACTGAAAAACACACAACTCCTCTGACATTAAACCACGTGTCGATAGATATAAATACTGATACTGCAGTACTAATACACACTCATACTGCAGTACTAATACACACTGACACTGCAGTACTAATACACACTCATACTGCAGTGCTAATACACACTGATACACACTCATACTGCAGTACTAATACACACTCATACTGCAGTACTAATACACACTGATACACACTCATACTGCAGTACTAATACACACTGATACACACTCATACTGCAGTACTAATACACACTCATACTGCAGTACTAATACACACTGATACACACTCATACTGCAGTACTAATACACACTGATACACACTCATACTGCAGTACTAATACACACTCATACTGCAGTACTAATACACACTGATACACACTCATACTGCAGTACTAATACACACTGATACACACTCATACTGCAGTACTAATACACACTAATACACACTCATACTGCAGTACTAATACACACTCATACTGCAGTACTAATACACACTGATACACACTCATACTGCAGTACTAATACACACTGATACACACTCATACTGCAGTACTAATACACACTAATACACACTCATACTGCAGTACTAATACACACTCATACTGCAGTACTAATACACACTGATACACACTCATACTGCAGTACTAATACACACTGATACACACTCATACTGCAGTGCTAATACACACTGATACACACTCATACTGCAGTACTAATACACACTCATACTGCAGTACTGATACACACTAATACACACTCATACTGCAGTACTAATACACACTCATACTGCAGTACTAATACACACTCATACTGCAGTACTAATACACACTCATACTGCAGTACTAATACACACTGACACTGCAGTATTAATACACACTGATACACACTCATACTGCAGTACTAATACACACTCATACTGCAGTGCTAATACACACTGATACACACTCATACTGCAGTACTAATACACACTCATACTGCAGTACACACTCATACTGCAATACTAATACACACTAATACACACTCATACGGCAGTGCTAATACACACTAATACACACTCATACTGCAGTACTAATACACACTCATACTGCAGTACTAATACACACTGATACACACTCATACTGCAGTACTAATACACACTGATACACACTCATACTGCAGTACTGATACACACTAATACACACTCATACTGCAGTACTAATACACACTCATACTGCAGTACTAATACACACTCATACTGCAGTACTAATACACACTGACACTGCAGTACTAATACACACTGATACACACTGACACTGCAGTATTAATACACACTGATACACACTCATACTGCAGTACTAATACACACTCATACTGCAGTGCTAATACACACTGATACACACTCATACTGCAGTACTAATACACACTCATACTGCAGTGCTAATACACACTGATACACACTCATACTGCAGTACTAATACACACTCATACTGCAGTACACACTCATACTGCAATACTAATACACACTCATACTGCAGTACTAATACACACTCATACTGCAGTACTAATACACACTAATACTGCAATATTCGAACCAAAGGACAAATAAACGATGATTTGAACAAATTAAATTAAAATTACATATTTTTTCTCATTTAGAAAATAAACTGCAAAAACTCTGAGATATTTTTATATTTAATTTATTCTGAAGACGGGTTTCTGTTTTCTGAACAGGAGCTATGAGATGCTTAAAGGATCTGCTGCATGTCTCAGCTCACCACCTGTAACGTGTATATAAACACCTAGCACTACATGTATCATTATTATACATTTCATGGATATTTATCAGATATTTTCCTGATGTATTTAAATCGTGTGACTGAGTGTGTATCAGTGTGAATGAAAGCATGATATTTCTCTTGATCTCTGCATGCTGTAAGAGAATAAACCCTAAACACTGAATGAACCTCCATCACGAACAGCTGCTGGGATTTTAATATGAAAACCTGTAAATAAAGGAACTGAACGGAACCGGAGCGGCTGGAAACGGGTTCTACGGGTTCTACGGGTTCTACGCCACTCTGGGATTTCATCTGACAAAAATATAAACATAAATAAATCAGCTGATATTTATACATAACATAAAGTGTGAAAATGATGCAGATTTTAATGTGAAATGTTATTAACTGTATTTATTTAATATCATATGTAATACAAACTGAAGACCTCAGTTTGATGTGCAGTGTGTAGCTCCCCCTGCTGGCCCAAACTGGTACTGCTGCTGTAATACAACTACCAGTACTACCGTGCAGAATCTGAGGTAATGTTATTTATTTAGCCTAATCTATATTCACTTTATAATATTGAATATATAATCAAATTCTTTATATTTTTATAAATTGAACACTATTTGTTCATTTTGTTTTAAACACATAAAGACTCTGATTTTGGAGATAAGATGTATTTTTAAATTCTGTTTTTATTGATTTGGTTTCAAAAGTGATACAACAGCTCCACCTGCTGGTTCAAAGACAGCACGACAGCAAACCCTGTGAGAGAATGTCCTGACAAATAAAATGTCAATGTTATTTGTTGAATTTAATTATAGTGTTGAATTTAATTATACATTATTTTGAACTAGGCCTAATTAAAATGCGCTAATTTGCATGCAGTTACCAAGGCATATCAACTCACAACTTCCCCAGTTACTCACGTCAAGTTAGTATTTTCCCCTGAAATGTTATGTTTAAATGCAGATTAGCTTTAAATCTATAGATGAATTCAGACATGGTAGTAAAACGAACACCATTTATATGTGTTTTTTGGAAGTTTTATTTCCATTAGAGTGAAAGAAAACATGGAAGCAAAATAGACCAAAATAACAAGTAGGCCCAACATGCAAAAACGATATTTTTGCCTGTAATGTCCTTAAACAGTAACTTCATCATTTTGATTGTTGGCTGCTCATTTAATAACTACTAATTTAAGTTAACTGATTATTTTGTAGAATTCTGTTGAGTATTAAACAATTACGTGAGTGTGAGGGTATTAAAATTAATTGGTCAGTAAGTCAGAGATGTGCAACTATATTTAAAGTGGACCTATCATGCTATATTTGAATAATATAGTGTAGGACCATACCTATATAAGGCATATTTATTCTTTTTTTTTTTCAAAATACCAAATAGATCATGCATTTTAGCCATGCCTCATTTTGCTCAATTTGACATTTTTTAGCTCTGTTTTTGCACGGGTTGATTCAGTGAGAACAGCACCATCTACAGGCCTGGCATATGTACTACAGCGTCTCCAGCGCTTTCGAACGGCAATGGCCGTGGCTGTCTCCTCCTGATTGGTGGAGTTGGCCCAATAGCCGTAGCGCCACCGTCCTGATGTCAGGACAGTGTTCAAATCTGGATCAGTCTGTATCAGATCCGTTGCAGCCCCTTTTTTAGAGATTTGGGTATGGAGGAAAATAGAGAGGGTTGTGTTTTCTGACACTTGGTGAGTTCCCTGGAACACCGGGGACACATATTCATGTATAAAAGACGTACAAAAGTGCATTTAGCATGATAGGTCCCCTTTAACTTTTTGTTTTAATACACTTTTTTATAAATGATTATGGGACGTGCCCTTTTTCTCACTTGAGCACCCGCCCCCCAAAATGTCTGTGCACGTCCCTGATGGGGAAAGGTAACAGTGACAAGTGTAGGAGCTTTGGAGTTAAAGAACATGTGGAACATATCTTATTACATTGTGACATCTATAAAGCTGAAAGAGAAAAACGAAAGGCTGAAGGTATAGAGCATAGACTGTATATATAAAGTTATAGAGGCAGAGAGGGAGAGGGGTTGGTATTCTGGGAACAAAAGGAGAGGAGTAAGAGCTACCAGAAAGGCACTGTTTACCTTTCCGAGTGAAACTGGGGTAGGAAAAATAATCTAACATTAGGTCAGGAAAGATCATAGATTGTTGTTTTGTTTTGTTTTATGTTTTAATGTTTTTTGTTGATTTATTTATTTGTGATTAGATCATAGATAGATACGTCCATGAGTTGAGAGATGGATCGATATGATGATTCACACTCATGTCCAGTAGGTGGCGGTATGCACCTTTAAAGTTGTTCCGCCAAAAACCGAGAGAAGAAGAAGAAGAGCCTCAGTTAGCTTCTCTCGGCTAGCAGCTATTAGCTCCACTTCAGGCGGGTTATCGTCTCTAAAACTACATTATTCTCCTCTAAACTTGTTACTTGTGACTTCGTTTCTTCACGAACACACTGCGGACATATCTCTCCAGATCCCCGGCTTTATTTCCAGGTTAGAAGAAGCTTTATTTCTGTCCGTTGTTAGCCGCATGCTAACTGATTTGAAGCTAAAGCTGTTAGTCTTACATCTGTTTAACTTGTATTTAAACTACAAATATAAGATGAGATATCCTCTATTCATCCTTGATTATAGACTACAACAAACCACGTGTTTCACAACTCTTTAATCTCTATATTTCAGGTGGTTAAAAGGTATATTCACGTCCTTTGTGTATCTTTTACTTTCGTGTTTCCAGGTATTTCCCCTCAGTTTAAACTTCAAACTGTTTCTGCAGCTCTTAACATTACATTTAATAAACAATAACACATTGTGTTAAATCTGACTCTATACATCTTTATATTCTAGCTAAACATCATGTTTAATCCAGGGGGAAGCCCTACATTATAATAATAATAATGCTCTTTATCTGGAGAAGACAGTCACCAGCCAAAGACATACAAACACACCTCAAATAGGCATTTTAAAACATACATTTAGATTCAAGTTACAACGATAAAATAGTGCACAATTATTGTCAAAATGTCTACATGTGTTATACATACAGACATCTTGAGATACCTTTTCTTGCAGTCACACAGTGTGACATATAGGGAGAGGGAGAAAGGAGAGGAGGAGAGAGTTCAGCATCCTCTCAGTGTCTCCTGGTCACACTGAAATAGGGGATGATCCTCATTGCTGTCATATATATTTATTTGTTGTCAGTATGAATACAAACAAATACAATTTAGTCCAAATAGCAAAGCTGGAAATGTAGAAGTCATTACCAACTAAATTCCACATTTATCCAACATGTTATTACACTGCTTTATTATGTTTACGTACTGGTCGTGGTGAGACCTAATACAAGTCACCATTCCATCCCGATGTACCTGGATCATTCTAGTTTCTCTCCATAAACCTGCCTCACTGTAGAGACACACCATGGCATCAGCTTGGTACCAAAGGATGACCCTGACACTATATTGATTTATTTAGAAGGGACATCATCATCATCAATAAACACATCTGTAAATGCTCCAGAGTTAGTCAAGAGGTAGTTTTAATCTGTAGTCCCGGGACAGGTGCTGGTAGTCACCCTAAAAACAAAATAGAATCAGGAAGAACAACAACACAGAGATCAGAGAGCAAGAAGATAACTGACAGATTATCCTCACTCAGGTTTTCATTGGGATTTAAATGAACTTTTATGTGACTTGTTCTCTGGTTGTTTCTGGGATTCGGTCCCATTGTTGATCAGCGTAAACAGAACTTTTAGACCGACTGAAATACGTTTTCCTGAGCGGAATAATCTCCTCTCGCTGCACCTGTTGTTTACCTGTATGAGGATAAACTCTCTGAGAGGAGGTGAGACCGTGGATCATCTGGTACAGAAGGCCAGCGTTGACATGTTTCATGATGATTCTCAACACGTTGTATTTTGAAGTATTTGGCAGTGATGTGGTCTTGACAAGCCTTTCTCTAAATCCTCCAGAACCCCTCTTTCTGTGGGTCAGATTTCACATCTCTGTCTTCCCGACACCTTCTGTCCTCAGTTCAGACAGAGACAGATTATCCTCACTAACCAGGTTTTTAACTGGGATATAAATTACATAATATGTGGCTTGTTCTCTGATTGTTGCACCTGTTGTTTACCTGTATGGTGATAAACTCTCTGAGAGGAGGTGAGGTGAGGCCGTGGAGGATCTGTTACAAATGATGATTCTCTACACGTTCTATTTTTGAAGTATTGGCAGTGATGAGAATACACTCTATGTGGTCTTGAAAAGCCTCCAGTACCTCTTTCTGTGGGTCAGATTTCACATCTCTGTCTTCCCGACACCTTCTTTCCTCAGTTCCTCGTCCCATCATGTCTCAGAACTACCCGTACAGACCTCCGCCCGCCGACTCCGATCTCAGACCCATTCCTGGACCGTACGGATCTTCAGATCGACGCCATGCCTCCTCTTCCCCCACCCTGTCGTCTTCAGACTTTTACAGGCCGCCTCCAGAGTCCATCCTGCCTCCTCCCTCGTCCTCCAGAGGTTCCTCCTGGTCTCAGGACGGGGCTCTGAGCATCCTGAACAGCTGTGGACTGGAACCAGCAGACCTCGCTCTTCTTGCTGAACTTCCAGAAGACGTCCTGACCGTCGAATCCCTTCCTCAAGTCCTCAAGCAGATCAAGGGAAAGAGGGGCACCGTGAGACCTTTGAATACTCCTTCCTCCTCTTCTTCTTCCTCTTCTTCTTATCCCCCCCAGATCCTCCACCACCAGCAACTGGGATCCTCCCCGCAACCAGTACCCACAGAGCCACTTAACACCCGGTAATCTTTTACCGGAGCTGGATCGCTGGGGGCATCCCATCACCTTCAACTCACCATCGTCATCCTCGTCCTCCAGCTACCAGGTGGACTTCAAACCAGGAGCTTCTGGGAAGACGGGCAGAAACATGGGTCCATTTCCCCCTAAAGACTACAACCATGGACCCTCTGAGTTCGGCAAGAAGGCCGGTGGTCCAGTTGTCTCTCAAGACTACAACTACGGACCAGGACCTTCTGATTTTGGTAAGATGGGCAAAAATGCTGGTCCAGTTTCCTCTCTAGACTACGATTCCAGACCTTCTGATTTTGGTAAGACAGGCAGAAACGCCAGTCCATTTTCCCCTAAAGACTACAACCATGGACCCTCTGAGTTCGGCAAGAAAGTAGCTGGTCCATCTGTCTCTCAAGACTACAACTACAGACCAGGACCTTCTGATTTTGGTAAGATGGGTAGAGATGCAGGTCCAGTTTCTTCTGTAGACTACGATTCCAGACCTTCTGATTTTGGCAACACGGGCAGAGATGCCAGTCTATTTTCCCCTAAAGACTACAACTACAGAACCTCTGATTATGTTCAGTCGAGCAGAGACGCCGCTCCACTTTCCTCTCTGGACTACAAACACGAATCGGGACCTTCTGATTACGGTAAGACGGGCCGATACGCCAGTCCAGTTTCTTCTTTAGACTACAACCACGGATCGGCACTGCTTGATTTTGGTAAGAAAGGCAGCGTCGCCGGTCCAGTTTCCCCTAAAGACTACAACCATGGACCCTCTGAGTTCGGCAAGAAAGCCGGTGGTCCACTTGTCTCTCAAGACTACATCTACATACCAGGACCTTCTGATTTTGGTAAGAAAGGCAGCGTCTCTGGTCCAGTTTCCTCGCAGGTCCGACCCTCTTTCGGCTCTGCAGGACGGGACAAGAAACCCCGTCCTTCCCGTTTCTCTCAGCCGGTTCAGCATTACGGTTCAGTTCCTCCTCCTCCTCCTGAAGAGCCGCTTCTGAAACCTGGTTCTGGTCGCGATGGAGGATCTGAGGTTTCTTCCAGGATACCGTCCAAGGAGAAAGCTCTGGATTTCCACGGGAAGTCTCCTCCATTGTTCCCCTACTCTTGCTCTCTGTGTGACATCACTGTGATGTCAGAGAAGGTAAGTAACACCTGCACCTGGATACCTGAGTCTGATGGGGGTTGGGTGTGGTGTGAGGTAGAAACCAGTTAGACCAGCTTCAGTTATGGTTCTTCTTCTTCTTCTTCTTGTGTTCCAGGTGTGGATCAAACATATCAACGGGCCTCACCATGCGGACGGACAGCTCAGCCTCCTGCAGCAGTAAGTTCCTCTCTGTTATATAATGAATAAAGAACACCTCCTGACCTACCTAACTAACTCATTCACTACCTAACTAACTCATTACCTAACTAACTCATTACCTAACTAACTCATTAGCTATCTAACTAACTCATTACCTAACTAACTCATTACCTACTAACTCATTAGCTACCTAACTAACTCATTACCTAACTAACTCATTCACTACCTAACTAACTCATTACCTACTAACTCATTAGCTATCTAACTAACTCATTACCTACTAACTCATTACCTACCTAACTAACTCATTACCTACTAACTCATTACCTAACTAACTCATTACCTACTAACTCATTACCTACCTAACTAACTCATTACCTACTAACTCATTACCTAACTAACTCATTACCTACTAACTCACTACCTAACTAACTCATTACCTAACTAACTCATTACCTACTAACTCATTACCTACTAACTCATTACCTACCTAACTAACTCATTACCTACTAACTCATTACCTAACTAACTCATTACCTACTAACTCATTACCTACCTAACTAACTCATTACCTACTAACTCATTACCTAACTAACTCATTACCTAACTAACTCATTACCTACTAACTCATTACCTAACTAACTCATTACCTACTAACTCATTACCTAACTAACTCATTACCTACCTAACTAACTCATTACCTAACTAACTCATTAGCTATCTAACTAACTCATTACCTAACTAACTCATTACCTAACTAACTCATTACCTACTAACTCATTACCTAACTAACTCATTACCTACTAACTCATTACCTACCTAACTAACTCATTACCTACTAACTCATTACCTAACTAACTCATTACCTACCTAACTCATTACCTACTAACTCATTACCTACTAACTCATTACCTAACTACACTCAGATACCTAACTAACTCATTACCTACCTAACTAACTCATTACCTACTAACTCATTACCTAACTAACTCATTACCTACTAACTCATTACCTACCTAACTAACTCATTACCTACTAACTCATTACCTAACTAACTCATTACCTAACTAACTCATTACCTACTAACTCATTACCTAACTAACTCATTACCTACTAACTCATTACCTAACTAACTCATTACCTACCTAACTAACTCATTACCTAACTAACTCATTAGCTATCTAACTAACTCATTACCTAACTAACTCATTACCTACCTAACTCATTACCTACTAACTCATTACCTAACTAACTCATTACCTAACTAACTCATTACCTACCTAACTCATTACCTACTAACTCATTACCTACTAACTCATTACCTAACTAACTCATTACCTACCTAACTCATTACCTAACTAACTCATTACCTACTAACTCATTACCTACCTAACTAACTCATTACCTACTAACTCATTAGCTATCTAACTAACTCATTACCTAACTAACTCATTACCTACTAACTCATTAACTACCTAACTAACTCATTACCTACTAACTCATTACCTACCTAACTAACTCATTACCTACTAACTCATTACCTACCTAACCAACTCATTAACTATCTAACTAACTCATTACCTAACTAACTAACTCATTACCTAACTGACTGACTGACTGACTGAAGACACTTCACCCCAAACTGCTCCTGTGTAATGTAACTAACTAACCCACTCACTAACTAACTAACTCTGTTATCTGTTCTGCAGGTTTCCTAACTGGGACTGTCGCATGGATTCAATCAGCAGGTCGGTGTTACACCACCTTAATATAGTGTGTATTTATATATATATATATATATATATATATATATATATATATATATATGTGTGTGTATTTTTATATATATATATTGTGTATTTATACAGCCCTCTGACTACTTCCTCCTCATTAAACAGCCTCTAGTTTATAAAGAGCTTTGGATCATCTTAAATCTATTTTGTCATTTCAGTGCCGACAGCCAATCAGAGAAGAAGAACGACGAGGCGAAACCCGCCCGGCAACAGACAGCCAATCAGAAGTCCTCCAGTAAAAACAGCCTTTTGTCTCCTATCAGTATTCACAGTATTAGCTGTTTTACTGTCCTAAGGTCTTCTCTCTGTGTTCAACAGACTCCCAGCCGAAGAACGCCCTCCAGAAGAAGGTAAAGCCTGACTCAGAGAGCATCACAGCTCCTCTGCGGACTGAAGTACTTTAATATGTTGTGTTTCATGACAGGTGTCGGAGAAATGTAAAGTGGTGTGTGTGAAGTTTCCGGCTCAGTCTGTGGACGAGGCGTACCTGAAGAAACTCACCGAACCGTTCGGGAAGATCGTGAAGATCCTCATGTTCCCGTCTCTGGTGAGTCCATCACACTGCAGGGCAGTAAAGTCATTTGCCCCTTTTCCACCAAACCGGTTCCAGGGCTGGTTCATTCATGATTCAGCTCCGGTTCTTCCTGTTTCCACCGCAGCGGAGCCGGCTCTCAGCACCGAAAACCGGTTCTTAGCTGGCCCCACTCGGCTGCCCGGCAAGAACCAATACGTCACGCTTACGTCGGAGGGGGGCGAGATTAACCTGAGCTAACCGTTCATGGCGAGTACGGCAAATAAAAGTTGTAACAAGCAGTAGCGCTGAGCAAAGTGACTAGAACGCAACCACACACTTGTAAAAAAAACACACTTTATAAAGTCAGGCAACACTAACCAGGCTTCGTGTGATTCTGTTTATTTGTACCTTACTTTGACCATCCGTTCACTGTTATTGATCATTGTGGAGAGCAGGCAGACGTTTTGTTTGTTATTATAGCAGCTATCGGATGGAATCAATACATGGGCTGCACAGGTTGTCATGTCCGACTATCACAAGTAGAATCATAATGAAAAATACGCCAGTAAAATGGGCCTGTAGAAAACGGCTTATGCCACAATAGGATAGCAACAAGTAGTCAAGATAGTCAGATTAGCTTCGGATGCTATGCTAACATCAAGGTTCAGGGTTCAACGCTTGTATTAGTCATACGTACAGTAGCTACAGTGCAGTTATGACGATGGAAATCTTAGGTCACAGGCTCCTCCAACAGAGCAACACAATAAAACAGAAAGACAGAATCACCCATTTTATACCAGAGAAACTTTCATTACACCGTTGTGATGCCGTATGATTAAAAGCAACATGATCATCGACCCAACGCAGTCCCCCGTTGTTGTTGTTGTTGTTGTTGTGAGCGGCATTGGGGAGAAAATCTGCGACGTAAACGATGACGCAGCAGCGGCAGCACCAGTTGGGCTCTGAGCAGTGGAAACAAAAGTGCTGCTACAGAGAAGAACCAGTTCTGAACCAGAAGAGCACAACGCTAGAACTGGAACTAGTTTGGTGGAAAAGGGGCCTCTGAGCTGCAGACAGTCCATCATGTAGGTTTTTAAATGTTATTGTTTTGTGAATCAGGCGTTTGTGGAGCTGGGCTCGGCGGACCAGGCGAGGGATTTGGTGAAATATCACGAAAACTTTCCTCTGACTGTGAACGGAGCGGCGATCGAGTTCAAACTGTCCAACACCTTCAGCTTCCTGCAGGTACATTCATCCAATCAGACGCTGAGAGATTCATCCAATCAGACGCTGAGAGATTCATCCAATCAGACGCTGAGAGATTCATCCAATCAGACGCTGAGAGATTCATCCAATCAGACGCTGAGGAGCATTATCTTCATTATTATCTTTATTATCACTGTGACAGATGCTCCATTTGAACAAAGTAATACATAGATATGATTACATATATATAAAGGGAACGTTATAATAAAACACATCAGGTAGTTTACCTTCACCTGAAACACCAAATACATAACTAACTAACTAAATAACTAACAAACAAACTAAATAAAATAGCTAACTTAATAACTAACAAATTAACTTACTAAATAACAATGTCTCTAGTGAAGTCAGGTAGTTTACCTTCACCTGAAACACTAACTAACGTAGTCTTCATGTCTCTAGTGAAGTCAGGTAGTTTACCTTCACCTGAAACACTAACTAACGCAGTCTTCATGTCTCTAGTGAAGTCAGGTAGTTTACCTTCACCTGAAACTCCTCCAGATTGATAAAGTTTCCCCTCAGAGCTCTCGGGTGGTGAGTTTCTTCCCGGCGCCATCAGGGGACGACAGCCAATCAGATCTTCTGGCCATCGTGAAGCGCTTCGGGGAGCCAATCCTCACCCTGTTCCTGCCCTCCAAGGTGAGGGGAACTGTTATTGTGTATTTATTTCAACAAGGACCATGCATACAAATACATTAATCTCACAAAAGAGAAGAGAGGATTTATGCCAGATCTGATCATATTTATTATCACATAACAATCAACAAACACTGAAAACATTGCATCATCTCTATCACACAAACAATTATAGTAGGTACAGGTCATTCAAAAGTGGTGATTGGTCAACAGCTTAGAGATGTCCCGCCCCTTACCCTATCACGTACAATGTGTTGGAGCGCTAGCCAATAGGAGTGCGAGTGTTACATAGTGATGTCACTATGTTCTGGTAAAAGTATCCAGTCCTAGCTACATTTCCTTAGAGATGTCCCGCCCCCTTAGCCTTATCACCTACAATGTGTTCAGCGTCTTTTTGTTGTTCTTGAACCCATATGATTTTTAATATTGTAGTTCTCCATGTTTTCACTGTAACTTGACCTTTTGTTTCCCAGGCGTACGTAGAGATGAAGGACACTCCTGAGGCTCAGAAGCTGGTGGACTTCTACTCCTCCAGAGCTCTGAAGATCAACAACAACTCCATCACCGTGTCCTTCTCCGGAGAGTTCAAGACCCTCTCGTGAGTAGTATTAACGGGTTGATAACGGGTCGATAATGGGTCAATTAACGGGTCGATTGAACATGAGAGCAGTATCTTGAACTAGGGCCCTCGACTAAAGATTTTTCTAGTCAACCAATAGCCTTAAAGGGGACCTATCATGCAAAATGCACTTTTGTACGTCTTTTATACATGAATATGTGTCCCCGGTGTCACAGGGAACTCACCAAGTGTCAGAAAACACAACCCTCTCTATTTTCCTCCATACCCAAATCTCTAAAAAAGGGGCTGCAACGGATCTGATAAAAACTGATCCAGATTTGAACACTGTCCTGACGTCAGGACGGTGGCGCTACGGCTATTGGGCCAACTCCACCAATCAGGAGGAGACAGCCACGGCCATTGCCGTTCGAAAGCGCTGGAGACGCTGTAGTACATATGCCAGACCTGTAGGTGGTGCTGTTCTCACAGAATCTGCCCTTGCAAAAACAGAGCTAAACATTTTCAAATTGAGCAAAATGAGGCATGGCTAAAATGCATGATCTGTTTGGTATTTTGAAAAAAATAAAGTATAAATATGCCTTATATAGGTATGGTCCTACACTATATTATTCAAATATAGCATGATAGGTCCACTTTAAATTAAGGCGATCAGCCGACTAATCGTCGCACGTTTATGATACATTATGATTATAAATATATATATATTTTTCTCCCAAAATGGTTTCAGTTTCAAAGGCTGATAAAGAGCATTATTATAACAGCATGGTACGTTGTGCTTCACATAAAATATAAAATAAGACTGTTATAATGAACCTTTGAAATATAAATTAAATGTAGAGAGCGCATGAGAGTCACAGCGCACGGACGCAGCGGTGTAAACAGCAGAAGCTCCGGTAAGGATTCTTAATGTGTGTAAACAAGCAGCTTCATATCTGAATATAACAACCCAATAAATACTACACAGGAAACAGAAACACTGAACATATGAGCATGATGCCCTCAGCATGAAATGAAAGCTTTATGGTGTTCTGAGGTCAGAAGGATTATATATTATAGGTCTATATATGTTGATACAGAGCTAGGCTGCTGCCTGACTCTCTGCTGCTGTTTTCCTCAGTCTGAGAAAGAAACACACGTTGTGGATAATTAATCTCTGTGTTGTTGTGAAGCCGGCAGTCAGGAAGCTGTGATGGAGGACATGGAGGAGACTTGTTGCCTTGTAGTCTGCTCGTCACCTCGTTGTCCTTTTACGCTCACAAAGATCCACACTTTAGATCTCCTGCCCGACCAAATTAACTTAATGACCAGGCTCCGCTCTGAATTGAGTCTGAGGGTTTCCGGCTGACGCGGCACATGCAGCGCACGACTAATTGACTAATGAAAAATTAGTCGACAATACTTTTTCCGTAGTCCATATTTGTATTTCTCTGTGAGGCTGAACACGAGTGATCTGGACTTTGGATAAAGTTCCAATAAGGTCATCACCTGTACACGTGGATGTTTATTTTTACACATCTATGACTCGATAATCAGAGAAAACCTTCAGCGTAGATTAACATCATGTGTTTTAGGTTCAGGAAATCTAAAAAAGAAAGGGAAGTTCTTGTATTAATCAACGGGATCTGTTCTGATTCTCTTTTCCTCCTTTAGGGGCGTCGCTGCAGCAAAGAGCTACGAAGAAACGATTTCCACCAAGAGGACGAGGAGTACGAGTCGAGAGGAAGAAGGCAAGAGGAAGAGGAGGAGCAGCAAAGAGAGGTCCAGGTCCACAGATAAAAACACTAAAGAGGACAGAACCAAGTCCAGGTCCAGAGAAAAATCTAGAGATAAAGACAAGAAGAAGTCCAGGTCCAGAGAGAAATCCAGCAGGAGCAAGACGACCAGAACTAGATCTAGATCCAGAGAAAAGTCCACAAGAGAGAGAAGGTCTAAGTCTAGGTCCAAAGATACATCCAGCAGAGACAAGACGACCAGAACAAGGTCTAGATCCAGAGAGAGGGCGATCAAAGAGGAAAACACCAGGTCCAAATCCAGAGAGAGGTCGATCAAAGAGGAAAACACCAGGTCCAGATCCAGGTCCAGAGACAAGACGACCAGAACAAGGTCTAGATCCAGAGAGAGGGCGATCAAAGAGGAAAACACCAGGTCCAGATCCAGAGAGAGGTCGATCAAACAAGAAAACACCAGGTCCAGATCCAGGTCCAAATCCAGGTCCAGAGACAAGACGACCAGAACAAGGTCTAGATCCAGAGAGAGGGCGATCAAAGAGGAAAACACCAGGTCCAGGTCCAGATCCAGAGAAGAGTCCACCAGAGAGAGAAGGTCCGGCTCTAAGTCCAGTCCCAGAGAGAAATCCAGCAGCGGATCCTCCGAGAAGAACCAGACCGAGACAAAGTCTGAGGAACCGGAAGAACCGGAGAAAACTGAGAAAACTGAGAAACTGGAGAAAACGGAGACGACCGGTAAGAAACAAAGTTCTGATGATCTGTCGTCGCCGAAATAATTGAGGAAACTGAATTATTAGCATTTTAAGAGCATCTTATGAAGCTGATTTAATGATAACATCAAAGCAGAATATTGAGCGTAAACAACGTAAAAATGTATCATATTTAGACGTTCTGGTGATGAAGATATTTCATATGTTACGTCTATTAAAGGGGACCTATCATGCAAAATGCACTTTTGTACGTCTTTTATACATGAATATGTGTCCCCGGTGTTCCAGGGAACTCACCAAGTGTCAGAAAACACAACCCTCTCTATTTTCCTCCATACCCAAATCTCTAAAAAAGGGGCTGCAACGGATCTGATAAAAACTGATCCAGATTTGAACACTGTCCTGACGTCAGGACGGTGGCGCTACGGCTATTGGGCCAACTCCACCAATCAGTAGGAGACAGCCACGGCCATTGCCGTTCGAAAGCGCTGGAGACGCTGTAGTACATATGCCAGGCCTGTAGGTGGTGCTGTTCTCACAGAATCAACCCTTGCAAAAACAGAGCTAACATTTTTCAAATTGAGCAAAATGAGGCATGGCTAAAATGCATGATCTGTTTGGTATTTTGAAAAAAAAAAAGTATAAATATGCCTTATATAGGTATGGTCCTACATTATATTATTCAAATATAGCATGATAGGTCCACTTTAAATAAAACAATTATTAAAGTTATGAGATATTTCGTAAAATAACTAGATAACCTTAAGTTATAAAGGTTATGTTCAGATATCGTACGATACGTTGATTTCGTAAAATAAAACGCGTACAATAAGTAGGTAGATGACATGTATAAAGGTATAATGGTCATGTCCAGACATTTTACAATCAATAAATAACGTAAATATCGTACGATAAGTCGATTACGTAAAGAACCTAGGCTAAGTCGATAACATAAATCACGTAAATGACGTTCGATAAGCCGATAACGTAAATTCAGTAGGATAAGTAAAAAACATAAATATCGTACAATGAGTTTATAGCGTAACTATTTTACCACAAGTGGATAATGTAAAGAACCTAATTATTGTAAGCTAAGTTGATAACGTAAATTACGTACGATAAGTCAAAAACGTAAATATCGTACAATAAGTTGATAAGGTAAATATCGTATGATAAGTTGATAGCGTAAATATCGTACGATAAGTCATAACGTAAATATTGTATGATAAGTTAATAACGTAAATATCGTACGATAAGTCGATAATGTGAAACGGCCTAATTCACAAAAGTACGTAATTTCCTTTCTTAGATACGGATCTGGTTAGCAGCAGATTTGATGACACTTTCAGATGTTACTGTTATTACTCTTCAGGAAATACTGAAGTTATTTTGTGCTACATCAAAACTAATCCCTCTTCCTCCTCCTCTTCCTCCTCTCTCCTCAGACTCTGATCCCGTCACAGACATGAAACCTGCAGCTGAGGAAGAGGAGGAGGAGGAGGAAGAGGAAGAGGAGTGAGTCTCATTCTATATTTAAATCACCTGCTGCTTTTATCAGAGTGTTAAAGTGTATCTGTTGTCCTGCAGGTCGTCTGCAGAGGAGAGCGACCTCGAGGGGATGGAGGTGATCGGAGAGGATGGAGAGAGTCTGGAGGAGGAAGACGAGGAGGAGGAGGAGGAGGAAGAGCACCGTCCTGCTGAGAGAACAGACTCACCTGGAGAAGGTAGAAACAAAAATGGCGCTAAGAGAAAACACAATATCATCCTCTAATTAAAAAAATTAAATAAAAATATCCTGGCTCTGTTGTGATTGGTCAACCACTTGGAGATGTCCCGCCCCTTTAACCTATCAAGTGCAATGTGTTGGAGCGCTAGCCAATAGGAGCGCGAGTGTCACATAGTGATGTTTTCCCAGAACTTTAGCCTCTGCAGACCGTTTACATGCACTAACAGCTACAGAACTACAGGAGAGGAGCAGGGACTCTTTCAAATGTGTTCTCTTTTCTGTTTCAGGTCAAAAGGAGGAGGTGAAGGATGGAGAGGAGGTGCCTATAAAAGAGGAAGAGGAGGAGGTGCCTATAAGGCAGCAGGAGGAAGAGGAGGAGGTGCCTATAAGGCAGCAGGAGGAAGAGGTAAAGACACAAAAACACTTATTTTATTATATAACATACTTAAAAAGGACACTACAATTTAGGCGGTAACAGTCGTAATAATCCGATAAAAAGTTGTAATGTTTGGACAAAAAAAAGATTCAAATATTTCACAAAAGAAAATCAAAAACATTTGAAAACAAACTTTTTCAGGAAAAGCTCTTGTAATATTTCAGAAAAATCTTGATCGTCAAAACAAGAATATTTAAAGGAAACATTCTTTAAATATCTGCATTGTAAAACTCCTACCTGTTGAACACACTACAGGTAAATATGGTAACATCTATAACTAACAGATATCACCATGAAACCCCCCCCCACTTTATTACTGACACTAACACAATTATCTTTTATATTACAAGTTTGTATTTGCATGTGTATATATTTACCATCCCAGAAACATGAACATTGGGTAAAAGCATATTTAAGGTTGCATGTTGTTGAGAGAAAACGTGGTAATAATTATTAGAACATTTCAAAAAAAGAAAGTCGATAAAATTGGAGTAAAGTAGAGGAGAAGTCAAAAGTGAACTCGATGTAAAGAATTCAAGGCAAGTTTATATAACACACAAGGCCATTCAAACAGCATAAAACACATTGTGTGAATGGTTCAATTAAAAGCAGAAAGAAAAGTCTTCAGCCTGGATTTAAAAGTAGTCAGAGTTGCAGCAGACCTGCAGGTCTCTGGGAGTTTGTTCCAGATATTTGGAAATATCTCTAACCAAATTCTCACGAGGGAAAATCATTGAAGTATTTCTGTTGTTTTGTCTCAGGAGGAGTTTGAGTTCCCTCTGGATCTAGAGGACTGCATCACTCTGGATGAGCTGAGAGAAGAGTCTGAAGGTAAACCAGAGCTGACGTTACAAACATTTCTCTCTGTGCTCTGACTATTTATTGGCGCTTTTCCACTACAGGTTTTAGTGCGGCTCGACTCGGCTCGGTTCGGCTCACTTTAAGTTGCGTTTTCACTACAGTTTTAGTAACTATAGTAACGACGCAGTGTAGGCGGGGCGATCGGCTGTTCTTTAGAAGTGAGCTTTACAATAGATAGGGACACAAAGCTTTCAAGCAAAGAACAGAGCGTTAGCAAAAACTTACCATCCTGCATGGACTCCAACAACAAGAGTCGCTTTCACACCAAGTACTTTGCCGTACTTAGTGCCGGCACTTAGCGCGTTCACACCGGAATAAGTTCCCTGAGGGAAGATTACGCAAATGAGCCGCAGAAGAAGCTGCTGGGACTCCCAGCAGCTTCTTCTGAAGCCTTCCAAGTAAATCGCCAGAACGCCGACACCTCCTCATCTCCACCGCTCCCATGTTTTTTTTTCTGTTGCCATAAGTTATTCTCTCTCCGTTGGTGCGCTGGGCTAATGCTAATAATGCTAATGCCACAAATACAATGGCGGCTTCACAAAACTTTTCAGAGTTTTACAGGGCGTGGTTTGCAATTCGCCCAGCCAATAGAAATTGGTACTTTTTTGGTACCACCTCTCTAGCAGGCACTAAAAATGGGGGTAAAAGTTCCCGGCACTAAGTACTCTTTTTGGTGTGAACGCGACATAAGGGGTACTAAAGGAACTAAACGGGAAAAGTACGGGGTAAAAGTACTCCGGTGTGAACGCGCCGAATGAGAAATACTTGCTGACGGTAGCTCGTCTGTTTTAAAAATAATTGTGACTATTCTCTCTGCCCAATCAGCGGTCGGCAGTGTTTTACGTCACTAGTTTAGCATATTTCCAGCTCGCTTGGAACCTCAGCTGAGGTGGTTCTAAAAAAGTACCAGTGAGCCGGTACTATCCCTAGTGGAAAAGCAAAAAAGAGTGAGCCAAGCCGCGCTGAAACCCTGTAGTGGAAAAGCGCCATATAAGTCTGTGTTGAGTAAACTGAACGTTGGGGAATACTTATCTAAACCACTGACAAATTATCCTTGATTCCAAACGACAGTATTCACATTGAGAGAATTCATTTGCAGAAATGTAAACTGGTCCCAATAACAGACCTCAAAGAATGAGCTGAAAGCAGTTCTTCATCATTCAGATCTATAAAATAACCCAGAGATTTAAACATGACTTGTGTTTGTTCAGAGGAGAGGAAGGAGTCCTCCAAAGAGACTCCAGAGGAAGACTCTGCGTCCAAAACCACTGAAGACAAAGAGTCCACATCTGAACAAGAGGAAGACAAAACCTCATCGTCTTCTAGAAAGACTCCAGAGGAAGACTTGGTGTCCAAACAGATTTCAGAGAAAGACTCTGCGTCCAAAACGACCGAAGAGACGGACTTGAGGACCGTAAAGTCTCCAGAAGAAGACTCAACGTCTCGAAAGACAGAAGACAAAGACCTGACGACTGGATTGACCGAAGACATAAACCCTGGGTCTACAAAGAACGAAGACCTAGACTCAATGCCTAGAAAGACAGAAGACCTAGACTCAATGCCTAGAAAGACAGAAGACCTAGACTCAATGCCTAGAAAGACAGAAGACAAAGACTCAACGTCTAGAAAGACCGGAGACAAAGACTCAACGTCTAGAAAGACCGGAGACAAAGACTCAACGTCTAGAAAGACCGGAGACTCAACGTCTAGAAAGACTCCAGAGGAGGACTTGGTGTCCAAACAGATTTCAGACAAAGACTCTGCGTCCAAAACGACCGAAGAGACGGACTTGAGGACTGCAAAGTCTCCAGAAGAAGACTCAATGTCTCGAAAGACCGGAGACAAAGACCTGACGACTGGATTGACCGAAGACATAAATCCTGGGTCTACAAAGAACGAAGACCTAGACTCAATGCCTAGAAAGACAGAAGACCTAGACTCAATGCCTAGAAAGACAGAAGACAAAGACTTGACATCCAAAACGATTGAAGACAAAGACTCAGCTTCTGGACCGACTGAAGACAAAGACCTGAAGACTAGAAAGACAGAAGACAAGGACTCAGCTTCTAGACAAACTGAAGACAAAGACTATACCCCTAGAACGTCTTCAGAGAAGGACTCCATGTCCAAAAAGGCTGAAGACAAAGACTTGACGTCTAGAAAGACTAAAGACCTCAACTCTGGGTCTACAAAGACCGAGGACAAAGACTCAGCTTCTAGAAAGACTTCAAAGAAAACTGAAGACACAGACTTGATCTCCAGATCCACTAAAGACAAAAACTCTACGTCTAGAAAGTCCTCAGAGAAGGACTCAATGTCCACAAAGGCTGAAGACAAAGACTTAACATCTACAAAGACCAAAGACAAAGACTCAGCTTCTAGAAAGACTTTAGAGAAAACTGAAGACACAGACTCGATCTCCAGATCCACTAAAGACAACAAAAACTCTACGTCTAGAAAGAGTCCAAAGTCTAAGAAGAGTCTAGAACAGGATCTGTCCTCCAGGTCCAGGACAGAGAGGATCTCCAGGAGGACGGCAGACAAAGAGTCCTCCTCTAAAACCAGTCCAAGAAACAAGACCCTGAAGAGAAGGGGGACGGGAGAGAGGGATTGGTGGACTGGGATTAAAGTCAAGAAGGAGGACGAGGACCTGGAGGAGGAAGACAGAAAAGAGAAGAAGGAGGACGAGGAGCTGGAGAAGGTCAGGGAGGACGGATCAACTGAAAAGAGTCCAGAGGGCGAAGACAGAAAGTCCTCCAGAGTTCAGGATCTGGAGGAGGAAGACAAGAAGTCCTCCAGAGTTCAGGAGCTGGAGGAAGACAGGAAGTCCTCCAGAGTTCAGGAGCTGGAGGAAGACAGGAAGTCCTCCAGAGTTCAGGACTCTTCTGAACCAGGACCAGAGGATTCAGAGAGTCTGGATCCACCTGGAGGACCAGAACCTGAACAGGTACGACCCGAGACCAGAGGAGTACATTTACTCAAGTACTTAAGTACACGTTTGAGGTACTTGTTCTTGAGTATTTGCACTTAATGCTACTGTGTACTTCTACTGCACTTCAAAAGGTCTCGTTTTGTTTGTGTGGAACCGGACAGACATGAAGATATTTTAAACTCTGACTTCATTATAAAGACTTTTCAGCCAGGTGTGTCGAGCTCTTTGTTTAACCTGTTACGCACGGCCCCCCCGGTACCGGGCGGATAAACGCGTCCTTTGCAGGAAACAACGTCTAAGGAATCTTAATATTTAATAAACTATGAATGTTTTATATCCATGTAACGGGAAGAAACTCAGCTAACTGATCTTTTTAATTTTTTTTTCCAAAAAAAACCCACAATGCTAACACTCAGCCTCTGAATTATCCACGAGCGAAACAATTTAACCTATCTCTGCACCTAAACTCACTCACAACTCCCTTATTACTTATCCTAGATGCACAGCCAACCACTCGTTTTGGGTCTCCTGGAGACACAGAATCGTTTGGTGCCCACCTCAACACTCAGTGATAAACATTTGCGACGCTATAAACGAAAGCGTACATCATAACATGTAGAGCTAGGTAGCTAGAAACGCTAACATGGCTTACCTTGGTCAAAACTGGTCTTCAATGGCATTAAAACGATAAAAAAACGATGCTGAAGTTAATCCATAGGTTCATCCAATGTGTCTGTGCCCTCTTTGAAATGATTTCTGATAATCCATAAGCAATAAAACTGTTTTTAGTTTCCAAATGCCAGAGTTAGAGATAGGTCCACTCTGACGCAAAATTACATGCGCGCAGCCCCCACCTTTTCTCTTCACAACGTGTGTGTGTGGGGGCCTCCCCCTTCGATTCTATTGGCTCTAACGGTCAGAAAGAGGTGTCAACCATCAAAATCGACCAAGGGGGGCCAGAGATATGGAAAAAAAAACATTTTCACCCAAATCACCTCAGAGGTGGGGTGGTTTTGGCTAAACCTCTCTAAAAAGGTCAAATGTCACTTGTTTTGCATCAATCTTGATACAGGCTACTTATTATATGTTGTACTTTGGATTACTAAAGCTTTTAGTCTACTAACCCATCATCCAAGGGTAGTTTTCACTATAAGTAAACAATTATTTTTGGACGGACACTATAATTTACAGTTTTTTACTATGTAAAATCTGAATTTTCTTTAAAATAAAAACATCTATATTGATTCTGACACTTCTACATCCAACTCACAGATGTAACCTTGCTTTGATAAAAGAAATTATTCATATAACCCTTTTAGAAGTTAAGTTGTAGTGATTTGTTTTGGGCATGTCATTTTCGAGCCTGAAACATGAAAAACAGGCTTGGTGCTTAACAGGTTAAGAAACCGTGGGAAATCAAATAGCATTTATACATCCCAATATACAAATGACACTTGCCTAAGGGGCTCTACTGGTACCTCTCTCGTGAGGACAAGAAACCAACTTCTGAGCAGTTGGTTTCTAGGAAATCTAGTTATTCTGTATGTGTTATATTATGATGTAATGCTCTGTGATGTGTCTGTAGGAAGCTTCTGAGGAGCTGCAGAGTGAACCAGCAGGGGGCGCTGAGGAGCAGAAACCCTCAGGACCTGTTGGTGAGGAAATACTGTTTTTATACTGTATATATACTCTGATCTTGTTTATAAGATATATCAACAACAACATGACCCCATAAACAAGATGTCTCCTGATGTAAAATGTCCCCTCTGTGGGACGATTAAGGTTATATGAAATATAATAATAATAATATGCACGGCTCAGTTCCAGGTGTAGCAGCACCAGAGGTCTGAGGGTCCGCAGAAGGCATCTCACGTATTGATCTATTATTACAATAAGCAGTATTTTAGTTATTAGTTTTTCATCTTATTATATTTGACATGCATGTCAACAACGTAAACAACAACATGACGCCCGTATACAAGATGTCTCCTGACGTAAACAACGACGTGACGTAAACAACAACACGACGCCCGTATACAAGATGTCTCCTGACGTAAACAATGACGTGACGTAAACAACAACATGACGCTCGTATACAAGATGTCTCCTGACGTAAACAACAACGTGACATAGACAACAACATGACGCCCGTATACAAGATGTCTCCTGACGTAAACAACGACGTGACATACACAACAACACGACGCCCGTATACAAGATGTCTCCTGACGTAAACAATGACGTGACGTAAACAACAACATGACGCTCGTATACAAGATGTCTCCTGACGTAAACAACAACGTGACGTAGACAACAACATGACGCCCGTATACAAGATGTCTCCTGACGTAAACAACGACATGACGTAAACAACAATGTGACGCCCGTATACAAGATGTCTCCTGACGTAAACAACGACATGACGTAAACAACAATGTGACGTAAACAACAACATGACGCCCGTATACAAGATGTCTCCTGACGTAAACTGTGACGTAAACTGTGACGTAAACAACGACGTGACGTCGGAGCTCTGTGAAAACAAAGCTGTCTCTCCGTCTGACGCTGTGTTTGATGCTCAGAGTTCTGGAGGAATTATACCGTTTTTGAGGAACAGAGATATTGTTTTCTGGCATCACTGTAACATGAGGGCGCACGACATGCTCTACTAAAAAGAAAATATGTATTTCACTGTACTATCACTTTTGTTTTTGACGTATATTATATTTAGTACGACATATTAAACTAGGACTTCTTTTCATTTGTTTCGACATACTACACCATGGCTCTTTATATTTAAGATGAACCAGAGCTTCTTAATGTTATAACTTACATGAAAAATAATTTTTATGAATTTTGTGACATATTACTCTTCTATTATTATTTATATTTTTACCACAAAATAAACTATGACTTTTTACAATTATTTTAGAACAAACTTTACTACGACTTTCAGATTGAAGCTGCTATTCTATGACCTACGTGGTTTTAAGACGCTCTGTATTATGAGTTGTTTGAGTTTCCCTGTCTTTTATACACAACATACTACACTGGGACTTCATGCCATAATATAACCTGTTATTTTACATTTCTATACGTTTTAATCTAATATCATATGTGCGTGTGTTTCTCCTGCAGGAGTGGAGTTCGTCCGGCCGGTCGTGGGTTATTTCTGTAACTTGTGTCAGCTGATCTACGCTGATGAAGACGAGGCTAAAGTGAAGCACTGCAGCAGCCTGGAGCACTACAGGAAGTACCAGGTCACATATAAATATTACATTCAACCTTCCTGTCGTCCTCGAGTCAAATCTGACCGTCAACAAAGTGACGGTCAGATTGTGTCGGGGTAAAGGTTTACTTAATGTTAGAGACAGAACAATAAGATGTTGATTGTGTTTTACTAGAGAAAGGAATTCATGATCACTTATAGGTTTTGGGTTTTATTCAAATTTATAGCATCTCGGGTCAATTCTGTAAAATCATTCAAAACTCTTTCCTTTTTTTAACTCAGAAATTAGGTTTATTTTGATCATACATTTAAAAATAAGAGTCAAACTTGTGGTAATAAATAGGTGGGAGAAGTATTCAGACCTTGTTCTCGAGTAAAAGTAGAAGTACTCAGATCTTGTTCTCGAGTAAAAGTAGAAGTACTCAGATCTTGTACTTGAGTAAAAGTAGAAGTAGTATTGACCTCTGAACTGTAGTGGAGTAGAAGTACAAAGTAGCATAAAATGGAAATACTCAAGTAAAGTAAAAAGTACCTCAAAATTGTACTTAAGTCCAGTACTTCAGTGAATGTACTTTGTCACTTCCCACCTCTGGTACAAAGTAGGAATAAAGTTTCCTTAAACTCAGATTTGGGGGTTATTGATCCTCTCAGAGTGAAAGCTGGAGGACAGAAGACGATCTGAAGACACGAGGCGCAGCGGAGAGAATCACAGAAATAAAACAGAAATGAACTCTGAAGTCAAACTGCTACGAATAATGATCTGAGTCCAGACCAGAGTATACCTTTATTTACAGGTTTCCATTATAACCCCCATCAGCCTCTCCTCCTTGTTCCCTTACAAAGGAGGGCAAAGAATAAAGTAACATAAAATAAATAAATAGCAAATCATCTTTAAAAAAAGAAGTAATTTTGAGGAAATCTGAAAATAAAACTTGGAATAAAACGAGCTGTTGATGGTTATATCAATAACTAATCACTGCAGCTTCTCGTGTTATATATATATATATATATTAATATTTATTTTTGATATAAAGGATGTTTCCCTGTGGTAAATAAACCCTCCTGATACTCCACCTGTCTCTCAAACTCAGACACGTCTCACTCAGATACGTCAAACTCAGACACGTCACTCTCAGACACGTCACTCTCAGACACGTCTCACTCAGACACGTCTCACTCAGACTCGTCACTCTCAGACACGTCTCACTCAGACACGTCTCACTCAGATACGTCACTCTCAGACACGTCTCACTCAGACACGTCTCACTCAAGACTCGTCACTCTCAGACACGTCTCACTCAGACACGTCTCACTCAGACACGTCTCACTCAGACACGTCACTCTCAGACACGTCTCACTCAGACACGTCTCACTCAGACACGTCTCACTCAGACACGTCTCACTCAGACACGTCACTCTCAGACACGTCTCACTCAGACACGTCTCACTCAGACACGTCACTCTCAGACACGTCTCACTCAGACACGTCTCACTCAGACTCGTCACTCTCAGACACGTCTCACTCAGACACGTCAAACTCAGACACGTCTCACTCAGACACGTCACTCTCAGACACGTCTCACTCAGACACGTCAAACTCAGACACGTCTCACTCAGACACGTCACTCTCAGACACGTCTCACTCAGACACGTCAAACTCAGACACGTCACTCTCAGATACGTCAAACTCAGACACGTCTCACTCAGACACGTCACTCTCAGACACGTCTCACTCAGACACGTCACTCTCAGACACGTCAAACTCAGACACGTCTCACTCAGACACGTCACTCTCAGACACGTCTCACTCAGACACGTCAAACTCAGACACGTCACTCTCAGATACGTCAAACTCAGACACGTCACTCTCAGACACGTCTCACTCAGACACGTCACTCTCAGACACGTCACTCTCAGACACGTCTCACTCAGACACGTCACTCTCAGACACGTCACTCTCAGATACGTCAAACTCAGACACGTCACTCTCAGACACGTCTCACTCAGACACGTCAAACTCAGACACGTCACTCTCAGACACGTCTCACTCAGACACGTCACTCTCAGACACGTCTCACTCAGACACGTCACTCTCAGACACGTCTCACTCAGACACGTCAAACTCAGACACGTCACTCTCAGATACATCAAACTCAGACACGTCACTCTCAGATACATCAAACTCACACACGTCACTCTCAGATACGTCAAACTCAGATACGTCTCACTCAGATACGTCACTCTCAGATACGTCAAACTCAGATACGTCTCACTCAGATACGTCACTCTCAGATACATCAAACTCACACACGTCACTCTCAGATACGTCAAACTCAGATACGTCTCACTCAGATACGTCACTCTCAGATACATCAAACTCACACACGTCACTCTCAGATACGTCAAACTCAGATACGTCTCACTCAGATACGTCACTCTCAGATACGTCAAACTCAGATACGTCTCACTCAGATACGTCACTCTCAGATACATCAAACTCACACACGTCACTCTCAGATACATCAAACTCAGACACGTCACTCTCAGGCCCCGGCCACACGAGGACGATAACGGTCGTATCTGCTACAGTTCACTATCAGATAGACGGTTCGGCCACACGAGGCCGACATGGAAACGCAGAAAACGATAACGGGTCCCAAGGTGGGTAGATCTGCAAACGAAACGCTCTGGGGGGGCAAACGGCTCCGTGTTCACGCCTATACGATCATGTCCTGATAACGTTGAAGCAATAGCCCCGCCTCTCCCCACCTCTCCTGCTCAGAGATCAGCTGCTGGGCTGTCAGAAGAGGGGGAGGAAAAGAGAGGCTCCGTGTTTTATTCTTATATTATTATATAGAGTCGTTATCAATTTGTTTTAAAGCTCAATAAATAACAAAGAAGACCTTTGACCGGCACTTTTCTAATTTTGTCCGGAAGATTTCAACTTTAACGGACATGTTGACCGGCGAAAAAAATCTAACGGAAACTCTGCCGCACGGTCCCCTCGTCCCTTGGAAGAGGCGGAGAGGTGGGTGTTTGTCATCTGCTGGTGGACTAACCGGAGAGAATTACAGCAGGAGCAAACGCTTGCCTCGGGGAGGGAGAAAAAGAGCCAGAGCGTCCACAGCGGAGAATAAACAGAAGGGCAACCATGGCAACCATGCGGGAAGTCTTCTTCGCTGCTTTTGTGGCAGGAGTACAGCGCCACTTACAGGCCCAGCATATGTACTACAGCGCTTTCGAGCGGTCTCGTGTGAACGGACACGTTTCTGGTGCCTGTTGCGTGTGGACGGAAGACTTTTTTGATAACAATTGCGGTCCGTTTGCGTTATCGTCCTCGTGTGGCTCCAGCCTCAGACACGTCACACTCGGACACGTCACTCACACGTCTCACTCCGATACGTCTCACTCAGATACGTCACTCACACGTCTCACTCAGATACGTCTCAGTAAAATCTCCTAATGCTCTGGGGCCTCATTTATAAAGGGATATACGCTCAAAAAATGGCGTACGCCAGTTTCTACGCAATGTTTGCGATTTATAAAATACTAACTTGACGGGAAAATGTGCGGCCCTCCACGCAAACTCTAACCCATGCGTACGCACTAAGCACACAAACGGGAGAGACGAGAAACTGCGACACCGTTGGCAGAAGGAAGAATGGAGAGAAATATGTGGAAATAATACCATAAATAAAATGTTACCTCTCATTTATCAAATATGAGGAATTCATTTTCAAACATTGATTAAAGCCAATCTTTAAACAAACGCCTGTTTGAGACTCCTCAGTGCACACAAAAACATAACTTGGAGAAATAAATAAATACGGATATGTTATTTGAAATCACCTCGAATATGTTGTGTTAATGTTATGAAATGTTTTCTCATAAATGATGCGGTAAGCAGGAGGACAGAATTACGTCTAAACTGACGCCGTTTTGCATTTCTATAGGTTGTAGATACGAGCATGGTTTTATATACTATCATGTTTAATCGTGTTTTATGCCGTTTGCCAAGACTTGATAAGTCGCTCGTAAAACACAGGAGGTATGGACACTAAGAACACCATATGTGGTAAATTGTACAGCTAATATAACACAACACATTGTATTTCCTTTAACTGGTGGATTATGGAGATATAGTTGCTGATCGACAGCTGGAACACAAACCACCAAATACAACAAAATAATTCAGATCCAGTCGTCATGACTACACTCCGGAGGGATTCCCCCATCATTTCTTAGTTTCTCATCAAGGGGGGGTCTCCTGTCCCCGGGACAAACACACTGCCTGAGGAAGGTTATGTGTATTTTTTTTGTCATTAACTTTTTTCGGGACCACTTATTTATTTATTTTGGTGACGATCCGACCTCCATGCTGCTACTCTGGTTCAAACTGCATCCACCAAACAATATGATTTATCTCCACCTCCCCAAAATAACCAATATCTGACACGGTGTGAGATGTCTTTTTTAGCTGTTCGGTCGTAATTTCCTGCGATCTTCTTCATGCAGTCAGTCTGAATGAATGAATGAATGGGCGTTTCTTTGACTATGTATAGGCAAATATGGGCGTTACGAGTCGATTATGTTTTATAAAGGGAAACAGGCGTAGGAAGTGCCGTACGCACTTCCCTCGCCGGTACGCAATGTTTTGTGAATCGGAAAATGTCGGAAAATGTCTGTACCTATTTTTTTGCTTTGTACTACGTAAGCAACCTTCCCACGTCAATCCTACGCAAGGCGTTATAAATGAGGCCCCTGCTCTCACCTCCACTCGTCTGTTATATTCCATTACACCAGGTGCAGTAACAGGCCTTCAAAATAAAAACATGAAAAACGACTTTAACTAATTATACTTTTACTATTAACAAAAACTGTTAAATAAAATAGGGCAGAGTTAAGCTCCTCCCCTCTCTCCTGAGCGGCGACTAACAGGAATATTTTCTCTTTTTGTTTTCCAGGAGCAGACGGGCAGGGACCCGTGGAGCCCAGTCTGATTCATCGGCTGATTTTTATTTTGATATTTTTCTTGAATTTAAAAGGTTCAGTGTTCAAAACCTCGCTGTGGAACCATGTCTGTTGGGATCAGCCGAGAGAAAAGTGTTCTGTTTTTATTCATGTGCATTTCTTTGTAGTAAAACATGAGAAAAGACGCTTTTGTTCGACTGGTTTATTTAAAAATAAAAAACATCCAAAAGAGAAAGTGAGACGATGACGTTAGTGTACAGAAAGTGAAGTCTAACAACACGCTGGAACTACTTTCTCTCTGTCATTCAGCGGATGGATACACTGTCTGGATGTAAGCGTTACTTCCACCACAAACCATGCTAACAGTTTCCCTCCGTTTACACTCATTATGCTAAGCTAAGCTAACCCAAAATGTTGAACATCGATGCAACAAAGATATCTTTACTTAAAAGGTTTCTGTGAACGTATCAGCTGTTCATTATAACTCCTAATATGGACATGTGAGAGATCTATGGACATGTGAGCGTGAGACAGATCTATGGACATGTGAGAGTGAGACAGATCTATGGACATGTGAGCGTGAGACAGATCTATGGACATGTGAGCGTGAGACAGATCTATGGACATGTGAGAGTGAGACAGATCTATGGACATGTGAGCGTGAGACAGATCTATGGACATGTGAGAGTGAGACAGATCTATGGACATGTGAGAGTGAGACAGATCTATGGACATGTGAGAGTGAGACAGATCTATGGACATGTGAGCGTATGGACACAATCTGAAATAAAAAGTTATTTTTTCTACGACGTGGTCTTCTTCCCTTTCTTCTTCTCCGCGCGGCTCTGCTCTTTCTCCAGGTGTTTCTGAAACAGAGAAAACACCCGTCAGATTATCAGAAGAACAGGTAGAGGGTGAGGAGGTGAGGAGACATTAGAGAGGTAGAGTCTGAGGTGAGGAGGTGGAATAGAAAGACGTCTCCTCTCTGGATGATTCTCAGCTCCCAGCTCTCTGTAATGTCACCATGAAAATACTGCAGATCAAATCAGTATTTGGCGTAGTATATATATTAGGGCTGTCAGTCGATTAAAATAGTTAAAAAAGAACACCCGACAGGCTGATCAGGATCCCGACGTGAAGCGGAGGGATCCTGATCAGCATGTCGGGTGTTCCCCATAATGACCAAGTCGCTGCACATTATCCCGCTTATCACACGGCCACATTCTCAACAAAGTCACGACATGACTCCCAATATTAATTGAAATGCTTTTATAGATTTAGAAAATGTTTTTATTGATTTAAAATGACATGCATCCGCTAAGCAAAATAGTCCGTTGTTGTCGTTTGAACTACGTAACAACGGCAGGAAGTGCTTCGATAGCGTTTTTGAGGAGCTTTTTGATTACATATTTGAAAACATGGCTGCTTGCTTTAAAAGTAGCACACTTCATGATGTCAGACCTTGGGAAGTATCTAGATATCCCTGCCCTAATGACAAAGGAACTGCACACTGAATATGTTTTAGCGTTTGATGTCTATGTCTGGACGCTGCGTAAAAAGGAGGGTTTCTGCCCTGTTACTTCTCCGCTGTTTTCTTGTCCCAGTTCCAAACTGTATACAGTTAAATCGACCGGACTTCTTTCTGCAGATGTGAGCGTCCTTAACAACGGGTCAATAAGTCCGTCTGTTCTGGATTAACCTGTTAACCCCCAAGCCTGTTTTTCAGGTCTCAGGCTCGAAAATGACATTCCCAGAACAAATGACCATATCTTCCCTTCTAAAAGGGTTAAATTAATAATCTTTTTTCTCAAAGTAATGATAAACCTGTGAGTTGGATGTAGAAAAGTCAGAATCAATATAGATGTTTTTTATTTTAAAGAAAATTCAGATTTTACATCGTAAAAAACTGTAAATTATAGTGTCCGTCCAAAACTTCTTTTTTACTTATAGTGAAAACCACCCTTGGATGATGGGTTAGTAGACTAAAAGCTTTAGGAATCCAAAGTACAACATATAATAAGTACCCTGTATCAAGATTGATGCAAAACAAGTGACATTTGACCTTTTTAGAGAGGTTTAGCAAAAAAAAACTCCACCTCTGGGGTCATTTGGGTGGACATGGGCGTTTTTGCCGTTTCTCTGGAACCCATTGGTCGATTTGATGATTGACATCTCTTTTGAACAGTTAGAGCCAATAGAATCGAAGGGGAATTTCCACATACACACCAACGTTACGATTGAGAAGTGGGGGCTATGCGCAAGCAGTTTGCCCAAAGCGAAAGCTATCTCACGCTCTGAAATCTGAAATCTGAAAACTAGGTTTATTGCTTATGGATTATCAGAAATCATTTCAAAGGGACACAGACACATTGGATTAACCTATGGATTAACCTTCAGCAGCGTTTTCATCGTTTTAATGCCATTGAAGACAACTTTTGATCAGACAACGACAAAGGTAAGACATATTGCCGTGGTTGCTACCTAATGCCACGTGTTGTGATGTCTGTTTTTGTTTATAATGTCGCAAGTTCTTATCATGGAGTGATGATATAGATACCTATCGATTCTGTGTACTCTCACAATGCTAATCGATATGTTGGATTTGCATTTACGATAAGTAATAAGGGTGTTATACCGTGTTTTCTGTGCTAACGGCATTAGCATTTTTTCGCTCAGGACTAATTCAGAGGCTCAGCGTTAGCCTTGTTTCTTTTTTTGCTAAAAATGGTTCATATCATCAGTTAGCTGAGTTTCTTCCCGTTACATGGATATGAAACATTCATAGTTTATTAAATATTAAGAAGCCCTCAGACGCTGTTTCCTGCAGATGATGCGTTTTTCTGCCCGGGTTCAACAGGTTAACAACGTGTCACGTGTTCTGAATTGACCAATCAGAATCGAGTATTCAACTAAGCCATGTCATAATAATGTATAAGTACCTGCAGCTTGTCGTAGTGTGTATATAGATATATATATATAAGTACCTGCAGCTTGTCGTAGTGTGTGTATATATATATATATATATATATATGTATATATAAGTACCTGCAGCTTGTCGTAGTGTGTATATATGTATATAAGTACCTGCAGCTTGTCGTAGTGTATACATATATATATAAGTATTATATACTATTAACTATCCTCATCCTCCTTGATCTTACTGCAGCTTTTGACACCATTTCCCACAGCATCCTCATTGACAGACTGACCTCCATCGGGATCACTGACACACCCCTCCTCTGGTTTAAATCATATCTCTCTGGCCGCACTCAGTTCATCCAACTCAAAACCTTCAAATCACAGCCACTTCCAGTCACGACCGGTGTTCCCCAGGGCTCTGTCCTGGGGCCTCTTCTTTTTATCATCTATTTACTTCCTCTTGGCAATATCTTCCGTAAACACAACATCCACTTTCATTGCTACGCGGATGACACCCAGCTCTACTTGTCCTCCAAACCAACCACCATCCTCCCTGTCGGACTGCTTACAGGACATCAAATCCTGGTTTTCCTCTAACTTTCTCAAACTTAACGACAATAAAACAGAGGTTCTCCTCATTGGCACAAAATCCACCCTAACCAAACCTGACAGTTTCTCCATTACAATAGACAACTCTTCAGTCTCCCCCTCCCCTCAGGTTAAGAGTCTGGGTGTCATCCTCGGCGGCACACTTTCATTCAAATCTCACATCAGTAATATCACTCGGTCTGCCTATTTCCATCTACGCAACATCAACCACCTCCGCCCGTCCCTTAACCCTAAGACCACCGCCATTCTTGTTCACACCCTGGTCACTTCCCGCATCGACTACTGCAACTCCCTTCTCTTTGGTCTCCCTCTCAAATCCATCCACAGACTTCAACTGGTTCAGAACTCTGCCGCCCGCATCATTACCAGAACCCCCTCCATTAACCACATCACTCCTGTTCTTCAGCAACTTCACTGGCTCCCCGTCAAATCCCGTATAGTTTTTAAGATTCTGCTCCTCGCCTTTAAGGCCATCCATAACCTCACTCCTCTGTACATCTCCGACCTCCTGCACATCAACACACCCATCCGCACACTCAGGTCTTCTGCTTCCCTCCACCTCACTGCACCCCCCCTTCCGTTTAACCACCATGGGGTCCAGAGCCTTCAGCCGCTCTGCACCCCGCCTCTGGAACTCCCTCCCACCTGACATCCGCAACACTGACTCTCTCCCCATTTTCAAATCACGCCTCAAAACATATCTCTTCACACTCGCATATCCACCCTGATCATTATCCATCACACATCCTCTGTTTTTTATTTATTTGGTTATTTGATTGATTTATATACTGCATTGTCTTGTTTATGTTTCTTATGCTGGTGTTATCTATTGTGTATCTTGTTTTTTATGTATTTGTACGGCGACCTTGAGAGCCTTGAAAGGCGCCTATATAAAATAAATGTATTATTATTATTATTATTAAGTACCTGCAGCTTGTCGTAGTGTGTATATACAAGTACCTGCAGCTTGTCGTAGTGTGTATATATATATGTATATAAGTACCTGCAGCTTGTCGTAGTGTGTATATATGTATATAAGTACCTGCAGCTTGTCGTAGTGTGTATATATGTATATAAGTACCTGCAGCTTGTCGTAGTGTGTATATATGTATATAAGTACCTGCAGCTTGTCGTAGTGTGTATATATGTATATAAGTACCTGCAGCTTGTCGTAGTGTGTATATATATATAAGTACCTGCAGCTTGTCGTAGTGTGTATATATGTATATAAGTACCTGCAGCTTGTCGTAGTGTGTATATATGTATATAAGTACCTGCAGCTTGTCGTAGTGTGTATATATGTATATAAGTACCTGCAGCTTGTCGTAGTGTGTATATATATATAAGTACCTGCAGCTTGTCGTAGTGTGTTGTATATATGTATATAAGTACCTGCAGCTTGTCGTAGTGTGTATATATGTATATAAGTACCTGCAGCTTGTCGTAGTGTGTATATATGTATATAAGTACCTGCAGCTTGTCGTAGTGTGTATATATGTATATAAGTACCTGCAGCTTGTCGTAGTGTGTATATATATAAGTACCTGCAGCTTGTCGTAGTGTGTATATATGTATATAAGTACCTGCAGCTTGTCGTAGTGTGTATATATGTATATAAGTACCTGCAGCTTGTCGTAGTGTGTATATATATATAAGTACCTGCAGCTTGTCGTAGTGTGTATATATGTATATAAGTACCTGCAGCTTGTCGTAGTGTGTATATATGTATATAAGTACCTGCAGCTTGTCGTAGTGTGTATATATATAAGTACCTGCAGCTTGTCGTAGTGTGTATATATATATATAAGTACCTGCAGCTTGTCGTAGTGTGTATATATATATAAGTACCTGCAGCTTGTCGTAGTGTGTATATATATATAAGTACCTGCAGCTTGTCGTAGTGTGTATATATATATAAGTACCTGCATCTTGTCGTAGTGTATATATATATATACAGGGGTGCGCACAACTTTCTCAGTGAGGTACTCAGATTGTCAACGGGGGGGGGTAGTGGATGAAGTAAAAAGATATGATTCTAAACTGTATTGAAGTAAACATGTATTGTTTGAACTGTTTTAAGTAATCACATATATAGAAATTATATTCTCACTTACAACTCACTGACCCAGAGATCCTGTTACACACACATACACCTCCTTTTCACCAGCACACACACACATGTTCTTTTCAAGGTTCTTTATGAGCATCATTATATCTGTATACAATGTTTAATTGTCTGAGAGTAACAGTTTATGTGAAAGATGCCATGGGAAAATAAGGGAGTGGATATCGGGGCAGAGATAAGATTGACTTTGACCTTGTGGAACCTTAGAATCTCACGTTCTGGTCAGAACTCTGATTCGCTGTATTGAACCCGACCAGAAGTGAATCCAACCAGTAAAACAGCTGGGGGATGTGAGCAGCTCACACAGCTCCTCCTCACGGACTCTCTAATTCGCTTCGGAGTAAAATGGGAAGGGAGAAGTCAACACATCTCCGCCCCAAAATATGAATATGAATACTGTTGTTTTTGTATGAAAAATACTTCTGGTTTGCTGAAGGCTGGTCTAGAGACGTGTAAACCGCATCACTAACCTGAAGTCCGTACTTCTCGTTTTCTGAAGGCTGGTCTGTCTACCT